TTCACCACCATGGCGCTCTTTCTTGCCCTTGCCAGCTTGACGCTGGTTCCTCTAGCTTCTGGTCAGCTATATGATCCAAGTCAGCGACCTGATGGAGCTTATGAATACATTCAGCCAGAGAACACAACCATCCTCGGGAACTATGGTCACTCTCCAGCAGTATATCCTTCGCGTAGGTAATACCAGCTCCTCACTTATGTGAATTCGGACTAATAAGACTTTCTTCTCCAGCAAATATTACTGGGGTTGGTGGATGGGAAGATGCTCTGACTAAAGCCAAAGCATTTGTTTCAGAACTCACGCCTGCTGAGAAGGCTGATATGGTGACTGGCCAGCCCGGACCTTGCGTGGGTAACATTGTGGCCATCCCCCGCCTAGGCTTCAAAGGTCTTTGTCTCCAGGACGGCCCTCTCTCTCTCCGCAATGCAGACTACGCTAGCGTGTTTGCTGCTGGTATTTCCATCGCCTCGACTTGGGATAAGGAGGCGATGTATCAGCGTGGCCTTGCCATGGGGAAAGAATTTAAAGCCAAAGGCGCTCATGTCCTTCTTGGTCCCGTGGCTGGACCCCTGGGTCGCTCTGCCTATGCTGGTCGGAACTGGGAAGGGTTCTCACCAGATCCTTATCTCACCGGCCACGCGATGGAACTGACGATACGCGGACATCAGGATGCTGGTGTTCAGGCCACCCCAAAACATTTCATCGCCAATGAACAGGAAATCATGCGTAACCCTGCCTTCAATCCCAATGGCACGCTCACCGACCATCTTCAGGCTGCTATATCCTCCAACCTTGACGACAGAACCATGCATGAACTCTACCTCTGGCCATTTGCTAATGCCATCCACGCGAAGGCTGCTAGTATCATGTGCTCTTACCAGCGAATCAATGGTTCGTACGGCTGCCAAAACTCCAAGACCCTCAACGGCATCCTCAAAGAGGAACTTGGATTCCAAGGATACGTAATGTCAGACTGGGGCGCTACTCACTCGGGTGTATCAGCTATCGAGGCAGGTCTTGACATGGACATGCCCGGAGGCCTGGGTTCAGCCGGCATGACTTGGACGGCGTCGTATTTCGGCGAGAATGTCACCACGGCCGTGAGCAACGGAACACTTGCTGAGTCTCGTATCGATGACATGATCCTCCGAGTCATGGCTCCTTACTACTGGCTTGGTCAGGATGGAGAGGACTTCCCCTCGATTGACCCATCTTCAGCTGATCTTAACACCTTCTCGCCTGCGCCAACTTGGCAGCGTGTATTTAACCTAACTGGTCCACGCAGCCGAGATGTGCGCGCAGACCACGGCGAATTAATTCGCAAGCACGGCGCTGCTGCCACTATTCTGGTCAAGAACACCAACCAAACGCTGCCACTCAAGGCTCCCAAATCCATTGGTGTATTTGGAAACGACGCTGGTGATATCACCCAAGGCTTCCTCAACCAGAAGGATTATGAGTTTGGTACTCTGACAGCGGGTGGTGGCTCTGGGACAGGGCGCCTCTCGTACCTCATCACTCCACTCGCCGCTATCACACAAAGAGCGAAGAAGGATAACGCCCTCGTGCAGCAGTGGCTGAATAATACCCTCATTGCCACCTCCGATGTTCGCGACCTGTGGGTGCCCACCCCGCCAGAGGTCTGCCTTGTCTTTCTGAAGACCTGGGCGACGGAGGGAGATGATCGATATTTCCTCAAGGTCGATTGGGATGGTGATAGCGTGGTTGAATCTGTCGCCTCCCAGTGCAACAACACCGTCGTGGTCACACACTCATCCGGTATCAACACTCTGCCTTGGGCTGATCACCCAAATGTCACAGCTATTATCCTCTCTCACTTCCCAGGACAAGAGTCGGGCAACTCTCTCGTTGATATTCTCTACGGTGATGTGAACCCATCTGGCAAACTCCCTTACACGATTGCCAAGAATGGTAGTGATTACAATGCTCCCTTGACTACGGGGCTTCACACGGATGGGTTTGAAGACTGGCAGTCCTGGTTCGACGAGAAGTTGGAAATCGATTACAGATATTTTGATGCACACAACATCTCTGTCCTGTATGAGTTTGGTCATGGACTTTCTTACACCACGTTTGAACTCGGCGGGCTCACAGCCGAGACATTGGTGGACGGTGATGTGACCTCAAAGCCTGAGCAGCTCCCAATTCAGCCTGGTGGTAACCCTGCTTTGTGGGAGACCGTATATAACGTCACGGTGCCTGTAAGCAACACAGGCGGAGTTGATGGTGCGGCTGTTCCTCAGCTGTATGTCACTTTCCCTACCAGCACGCCTGAGGGTACACCACCAAGACAGCTTCGTGGGTTCGAGAAGATTTTCCTCAAAGCCGGCGAAACGAAGGATGTCAGCTTTGAGTTGCAGCGACGAGACCTGAGCTTCTGGGACATCATCTCTCAGGAATGGCTCATTCCCACAGGCGAATTCACACTTAGTGTGGGTTTTAGTAGTCGCGATTTGAAGCAGTTCACGAAATTGTCTCCAGTTGTGAATTGAATGAATGGAAGGGATGACTGTTTGGGTCTTGTTTGGAATAGCCTTTCGTTGGAAGACAGACTACGGTATCAGAAGAGTCTTCAATAAATAATGAAATCTGTTTAATCCGAAAAATAATCGCATAGATGCCAAGCGAGATCTGTCAGCGAGAAAAGAGTTCTGCCCAACACAAGAAGAACATAGATAAGCCACGCCTGCCCCGGGCATCTGCAACACTATTCGTGTAAGCCAGAGAGATCCTTGATGGAGTTATACGAGTCGAGCCTCAAATTACCCTCCGTATGGGGTCTCCTATTTCACTAGAGCGCATTGGAATTCTTTGTAGGAATGTATGCCCAGTTGACGCGACTGCTAATTGCTGTCCACTTTGATTTATGCTCATTCAAAATAGGCAAGAAACAAACAGAACATAGTAGAAATAGAAAGAAACTTTCTTCAATCTAGTAACGCAACAGTTGTGTAAACCTCGCCTGCAAATACCCAGCAAAGTCTGCGGGACGGTAGCCTCTCACCCCTCCCACACAACCGGGGCAGGTGGGACAAAGTTTGTGATATTGAAATTCAGATCATACGTAGAAAAGTAAACGTCTTCCAAAATATTAGCATTCACACCACATATATGCATTCTCTTTAAGGGGTTTGTACCTGATTGCCCACGTGTGTACACCCCCGGAATTTTCACAGTTGGTCCGGGGGAGCCAGAGCCACCATTATTCACGATTTCAACATGGGCGCAGTTGACGTAAAACTGCGCATCAATTTGGTTAGGGAATATGTGCTCAAAACGAAGAAGATATTTCCCTGATGGTGTCGTGGCGGGAATCGTGAAGTTCCACTAAATCAATCATTAGCCGCAAGGTAAAGCGAGCTATAGGCGAACCACTCACACTGCTGACTCTGTAGGTTCCCCAAACAGACTTAAATACGTCGTAATAGGGTGCCCATTCAGGATCAGAGTAATCAAGAGACTGCTCAGTCCTTCCTGTCACACTCAAGATCTTGAACCAATCGCCATCACCGGCGTATGATTCAAGGTCATCGGTCGTTGACTTTGAGAGCCAGGCAGATGCAAATCCAGGGTGATACATCCATGGCCGATCGTTCTATAAAAAACCTATGTATTAGCACCAGCTTACACCCAGAGAAATCTCCGTGGCATACTGTCAATGCTGGTTCACCAGCGGCAAACCCAACAGTGGATCCTGCGTTAATCACGGCCGTCTTAACAGATGATATAGGAAGTGAGGCGTTTCGCCCACATCGAAGATCGAGAGAATTAGGATCGGTGTTTGGTGCTACGAGGGCCAAATCCTCGCTCATGTTCGGTGCAGGGCTTATTTCGCTGCCTCAATGTCAAAATCTCCACGTAGCAGGACATTGGATGTTGGGATAACTCATATATACCGAACATATTCCCATGTCTTAGACCACTGCCCGTCCAGTATCAGACGGCCAAATAAATCTGTTTTTGTCAGGAACATTGAAATGCAGGCATCGATTTCCGGAATATGTCACGTACAATGAGCGTTGGCGGCACCAAGTGAGAATAGCCCAACGGCAAGGGATTTTTGGATCTTCATCTCAAATGATGTTCTTCGAATAGGAAAAGAAAGATTCCTTGATAATGGGATTTTTTCAATTTATGAAACTTCTCATTGAAGCTTAGTGAGGCGTTAGAGATCGTGATAAATGCTCGAGAGATCTCGCCTCTAAATACATTACTCAACCAAACAACACCCCTATGCTTGAATTCCCGCTTTAAACTTTATAAAACACCCCATGTAATTTGCAATTTTGACTTTCTTTTGCCTTCTTTCATGAATACTTCATCTCATCAATATTCTCCCTTTAACGATTTTGTACATACTCATGCACAGAGTTTTCCTTCTGCGTGGGTGTAGCCTGAGGCTAGTAGAGCTTAATTGTTTTTACCTTTCGTATTCATCATTGTGTTGAGATATCGGGTCTGGTATTTTCCATTGCTGTTTTTTACTTTGTACTCGAACTCTCATACGTATCCGTATCTACTGCATAAACTGAACGAAGATAGGTCCGTAGAAGGGATCCCGAGATTGCACATGTTTATTGGTTTTTTCTCTCTCTCTTTTTCCTCGCGCAGTCGCCTACTCTCATTTGACTTCGATGATTCGCTGTTTGCCTCAATGACGCTGCTGCCTTGGCTGCCTTGTCAGCCTAGACATACGCAGCATCATGGTACATAAGCATTTAGGCTGACATCTGCCAGCCGTTCCTTACTGGTTAGGTAGTGCCCCGTGCCCCTCATTCTCGTATCCACTGTTACGGGCGATGCTGCGATGACACAAAAGTCCATTGCTTTCACCTCAAACGCCCATCTAGCGCTCCCTCGCACAAAGCTATCTAACAAGACAGAGGATCGCATCGTTTTTTTTTAGACGACGAGACCTTATTCCTGGTAAAAGGTACGACTATCTGTCGACGACCTGATCTATCTTCACTCACCCTGAAATGAGCAATCCAAATGACTATGCCGTCGGATGGATCTGTGGACTTGGTGCCGACTATGTTGCTGCACGGTCGTTTCTAGACGAGGTCCATCCCGTGCCTCGCTCTGTAGCTGAACATGACCGTAATCGTTACACCTTGGGCAAGGTAGGCGGGCATCTTGTTGTGCTCGCGGCCTCGCCTGATGCCGAATATGGGAGTACCTCTGCTGCGCGTGTGGCTAAGGATATGCTGAGTACGTTCCCGAACATCAAAATCGGCCTGTTGGTTGGCATCGGTGGTGGCGCGCCAAGCCAGAAGAACGATATCCGTCTCGGTGACGTCGTCGTCGGCTCTCCCCAGGACGGTAACGGTGGTGTTTTGTATTATGATTATGAGCAAAGCATCCAAGACCAGGCCCTTCGACTCACTGGCCGCCTGAATGAGCCACCGATGGTCCTGCAGACAGCTTTGCACAGACTGGCTGGCGCTAGGGGCGATGGGGAGAGCTATAAACTTGAGCAGGCCATTGACGATGCCCTCAAGAAGAAGCCAGCCAGGCTCCAAGAAAACTACCTACGTCCAAGTGCAAGCAGGGATCAACTGTACCGAAGCCAAGTCGTTTATCCCTTAGATGACAATCACAAATGCCCCGAAATATTCAGTGATCACCCATCACATCTCGTGAAAAGGGCGGATCGGTCCGAATGCGAAGAGGGAATCGCTGTGCATTACGGGCTAATCGCATCGGCAGAGAGCGTAATGAAGGATGCAGCGGCTCGCGACAAGATTGCTGAGGAAACAGGAGTGCTATGTTTCGAGACGGGAGTTACGGGCATGCCGAGCCGTTTCCCTTGCCTAGCTATTCGTGGCATATGCGACTACTCAGATAGCCACAGAAACAAGGAGTGGCGAGGCTATGCCGCGATGGCCGCTGCTGCCTTCACAAAGGGTCTCCTACATCAAATCGCCCCAAATGAGATCGAAGGGGAGACGACAGTCCTTGAACTGGACCCCTTTAAGACGGTCGAAGGACAAGAAGACACCGTCATGGGTGGCACAGAGACTGGAGAAGGCATTCTGACGCCAAAATTATCCGACGAAGAGGAGAAATGTCTTCAATTTCTCGGGCCCGCAACCAACAGCACCGACAATTCCTACCAATGGCATAAGGACCGGGTAGACCAAGCGGCCGAACACACCTGTCAGTGGTTGCTTAAGCATGAAGAATTTGATAAGTGGCTGAGACAGAAGCATGGTCCGCTGCTCATCACAGGAAACTCCGGGTCTGGAAAATCTGTGCTGGCCAGATATCTGATCGACCAGGGCCTACCTCAATCACAAACAGAAACAGTTTGCTATTTCTTCTTCAATGGCCAGGGCCAGAACAAAGTGAAGCAGGCACTTCGTGCCGTGCTCCATCAGCTTTTCCTCAAAAAGCCATGTCTAATACGGCATGCTGTTAAACTCTTTCAAGAGAATGGCACATTTTTTACCAGCTCGACTTCATCACTTTGGAATCTCCTCCACGCTGCTACAAGTGATCCCCAAGCGGGATCTGTCATCATAGTCTTCGATGCTCTGAATGATTGCGATGTACTAGATCTCGAAGACTTAGTGGAAGAAATTCAAGTCCAGTTTCGGGATGAGCAGCTAGGAGACAAGCAATTGAAATATCTTCTCACGAGCCGTCCATCCGATAAACTCATGTCCTCTTTGGAAAAAGGGGCATCATCAACATACGCTCATATATCTTTGGAGACGGAGCATGAGGCAATCCACCAAGAGCTAGATTCTTTGATTTCACTCCATGCCGACAGGCTATCGGACAAAAAGATGCTTTCGGGCGAAACGAAAAATTATATCAAAGAAACACTCACTTCTAATGAGAATAAAACCTACCTGTGGGTGGACCTCGTTTTCGACTACCTGGCAACAGAAGAGTTGGATGGATCATCTAGCAGCAGCTATGCCTCGCTTGAAACCCTTCCTAAGAGCGTCGAAGAAGTCTACGAGAAAGCTCTACAAAGGTCAAAGGAATCTAAAATGGTCCAGAAAGCTTTGGGCATCGTTCTAGCCGCAGACCAGTTGATGTCGGTCTTAGAGATGAACGTTGCTTTAAACATGGGCTATGAAGTCAAATCGATTTGCGACCTCAACTTGGCAACCGAGAACGAGTTCAAGTCAAACCTCCTCTCTCTAGCTGGACTGTTCATATCCATTCGCGACAACAGGGTTTCTTTTCGCCACAAAACTGCTCGCGAGTTTCTTGTCAAGGACAAAGAGTCACCCTCGTCGGCTGGTCGTGAACCACTGGAGCATCATTCAATTTCTATGTCTTATGCAAATGAGAGTATGGCAGAGATATGTGTGCAATACCTGAACTTGTTACCTTTCGGCGAGGGGGCCGATATACCAGCCAGACTTGCCTTTTTGCATTACTCAGCCCGAAACTGGCTCAAGTTCTTCCGCAGGGCTGAGATTACAGATCACCATCCCATTCTACCACTAGCAGCTAGGCCCTGCGACCCCAGCTTGGAAGTCTTTCGTATTTGGCTTAAAGTGAGTCAGGAGCAGGGGATACTCAAGACCATGACAAGCGCAACAGGTCTCCTCGTAGCATCTCACTTGGGTCTGGCCCCAGTTGTAAACTTGTTTCTCGACCAGCCGCATGACATCGAAGAACGAGATAAGCACTACGAACTGACGCCGCTTCTGTGGGCGGTTTCATCTGAAAGCCACGACACCGTCAAATTATTGCTCGAGAAGGGAGCTGATCTTGAGGCCAAGAACCCTTCCAAAGAAACGGCACTGACTTTGGCCGCCAGGCAGGGGCGCACGAGCATCGCGAAACTGTTGCTCGAAAAGGGCGCATGCTTCGACGTCAAGGATGAAAAAAGCAAGTCTCCACTACTGGTTGCGGCCATGAACAGGCATACCGAGATTGTCAGGCATTTGCTTGACCTAGGAGCTGAGTTCGGGGATAAAGGTATCCAGAAAGCATTATGCCGAGCGGCAGAGTTTGGAACCACGTCCATGGTTGAGTTACTGCTTGACAGAGGTGGAGACATCGAAACAAAGGACAAAGAGGACTGCACCTTATTAATTTTGGCAGCCAAAAATGGGCATGAAGATACTGTGAAGTGCCTTGTGGAGAGGTCTGCCAAGATCGAGGAAGCAGACGAGCTAGGCAGAACCGCTTTATCATGGGCTGCAGGGGATGGGAACCTAGAGACGGTTGAATATCTCCTTGAAAAGGGCGCTCAAATTGGTTCGACTGATCTTGGTGGCCAGACGGCTCTGTCGTGGGCCGCCAGCAAAGGACGTGTCGATGCCATGAAGTGCCTTTTCGAAAACTCTCCTTCTGTGATTAACTCTACAGATCACGAGGGGCGAAATGCTTTCTTATGGGCTGCTTTAGCTGGCCAGGTAAAGTCCATGGAGTATCTGTTTGGCATATCTGATGACATACTTGGCTCGGTGGACGAGCTGGGAAGAAATGCTCTGTTGTTGGCTGCCATAGGCGGTGATGCCGACGCTGTGAAATACTTGTTGGGAAAATCCGCTACTCTTATTGGCTCAGTTGACAACAGTGGAAGAAACGCTCTGTCGTGGGCGGCCGAGAATGGGCACAAAGACATCATACAGCATTTTCTTGGGAAGGATGCCAGCGTTGAGTCTGAAGACGCCACCGGAAAGACTGCTTTATCTTGGGCAGCCGAAGCTGGACAGACTGATATTGTTGAATATCTTCTGGAGAAGGGCGCTGAAGTCAAGTCTACAGATAGCAGTGGTCGGACGGCCTTATCATGGGCGGCTGGGAGAGGACGCACATCTACACTCATCTGCCTCGCTAGTATGGGTCTCTCAATCGGCTCGGTGGATAAGAATGGCCGGACGGCTCTGTCGCGGGCTTCAGAGAATGGCTATGAAAGCACTGTTAAATATATCCTCGGCAGGGGCGAGAAGATTGATTCGGCTGATAATACAGGCCGGACTGCCCTTTCATGGGCCGCCGCAAACGGACGCGAAAGTCTCGTCAGCTATCTTCTCGGCAAAGGCGTTGAGGCTGACTCCGCAGATGGAGCCGGACGGACAGTCTTGTCATGGGCTGCAGGTCACGGACATACAAATGTCGTGAAAATGCTTCAGTCAGCTGGAGCCAACATCAACTCGGTAGACCAGCGAGGCTGGACGCCCTTGTGGTATGCCGTTGCGGGAGGACACGAAGATGTTGTAGCTCATCTGACGATGGATGGTTGTGATATCAAATGGTTAGATCAGGAGGGCCAGTCGCTTCTGAAACAGGCCCTTTTGGGACGCAGTGAGGGTGTCGCACTGCAACTGCTCCGAAAGGGAGCCAGCGTTGACACCATGTCCAAGCCTGGCCGGAGTCTGCTCTCCGAGGCCGCTGAAGAAGGGCATGCGGACGTTGTCCGGTTTCTATTGGAAAATGGAGCAAACGTGGAATCCAAGGATCAAAGTGGCAGGACACCTTTATCTTTGGCTTCAGGAGGAGGACGTCAAGACGTTGTTCAACTCCTTCTCACAAAGGGTGCAAATACAGAGTTGGCAGATCATCAGGGACGAACGCCATTATCATGGGCTTGTTGGAAGGGACACCAACCGGTTGTACAACTACTGGTCGACAGCGGCGCCGATAAAGATGCATCTGATGACCAAGGCCGAACTGCTCTATGGTATGCCAACTTCAGTAATTTTGGTGAGGAAGGACCAATTGCGAGAATACTTCAAGATGGTGGTGGCAGTATCTAGCATTCTTAAAAGCTTTAATTTCTTCCATTCAGACGAGTCTATCAATCTGATGATACGTACAAAATAAAACCTCACTGTTGGGGCAATATATATTAAATAAGTTTTCAACTGACCTCACTTTCATCTCCTTGAACCACCAAATTGAGAGGAGCCTCCAGATTATGTTGATTCCTCAATCATACCGAGTTCAGCGTAGACCATTCCATTTTGCAGGGATCAGACTTTTTTACGTTTGGCCAATCCTCGTATTAGCATCAAGGAATTGAAGCCTAGTCGTAAGATGGGATGCCACCCTAGGGGATGACTTGCTCGCTTAGGGTTTTAGGCACAATATATCTCTCATGTGATCATGGGTAGACATGGAGTGGTTGCTGACTTTGTAACCCAAACCTGGCGCAGCCAACCGAAATCATCAATTATGCACGGCAATCCTACCTGCCAAGACTCCCTCAAGCCTTGCTACGCCGCAAGGGCTCATCGCTAGGCTCTACTAGGGAAGATAAAAGAGGACAAGAGCCACTTAAGTGATTATCAGAAAGTAAGCAAACTCAGCACACTTCTCAAGAATGCCTCAAACACCAGAAAAGTGCGGCCCCGCGCTGGGAATTGAACTCGACGGAGACAAAATGTATTGGCCAGGCGATGTAATCACTGGACATGTTTATCGACAGGTTCCGACCGTTTGTCCAACAGCCACCCTCGTTATAATGCTCCATGGACGAGCTAAATCGAAGAGTGTCATGACCGGTTACCAAAACACCGAATTTCGGGGAGAATTCACGCTCGTTAACAGTCCAAAAACTGCGAAGACTTTGTTCAAGGGGCCCATTCATATTGCAGCTGATGGCGGAACACAAGATAAATGGCCTTTCTCTGTCTCCATACCGACTCATGTTGAGATTGGAGGAGGCAGATACTACACGGAGAGCTTCCTATCGATTGAACCCTCATCAGTCGCAAAGGATAAACTGCCTCCTAGTTTCGAGGTAGGATGGAAAGGCGAATCTGACGAAGCCTTTGTGGAGTATTATCTCGAAGCTGGCTTGAGGCTAGACGCGAAAGGTTCCAGGGGAACCTACACTGCTGTCAAGCCAGTACGGATCGTACGTTTCAATCCGGGATTGTCTATTACAAGCAATAACCTGAAAAGGCATGATTCAGAGTTGACCGTCTCTTCCTTCCATCTCGAGCCCAGCCTGAAGAATGCCAAGCTATCCAGATCCCAGAAGATGAAGAAGGTGTTCGGCACTCCTTCAGTTCCGTCATTGACTTTCAAGCTGGAGGTTGGTGCACCCACTGTTATCCAAGCAGATGATCCGAACCCTTTTCAATTTTCCCTGAGGGCTGTTCCTCAATGGGACCAATCCACCAAGAGCCTGCGTGACGTGCCGCAGGCGCTGCAGCTTACGAACCTGAACATCAATATTTGGACCATTGTGGAGGTGAAAACTGAACGGCGGCGGCCAGTGGGAAACGGCGAAAATGGTTGGAGATTTGCCACCAGCCTGGACACAAACACAGCTCTCAAATCGCTCTCCTCTCCCATTGAATTACAATGCACCAATGACAGCCCCACGATCGACGTCGGCAAAATTTTCAAGCTTGGGATCCCGCTCTACATAAACCCTCCACCAGGGAGCGTATGGGATGAGTTTGTGCGACCCGGCATTGTTACGTACAATATCAAGATAACCCACCAGCTCAGATGGGAAATGGAGTTCAAAATCGCTGGAGATATTGCAAAGGTCGATGGCAAAGGGGATCTCGAGGTTCTGTGGCCTCCACGTGCATCTTTTGTGCGCCATCCAGTTGGAATTCCAGCGGGTAGTAGCGATCAATCTTGGGTTGCACCTCCCGCTGAGGACGAGAATCCCCCGACCTTTAGGGAAGTGCAAGAGGAGGATCTACAGGCAGGGAGAGAGCCAGTGACACCTAACGTAAGAGAGAAGTCTTAATTTCCAAATTATCTTTAGTCGCTACTATTCATTGTGTTGAGTTGTCGGGCTCTGGCAGCTTCCGTTGCTGTTAAACTTTATTATCTTTCTCTTAGGTATATTTAGTCATTACATAATCGTTTTGAACTTTACGCTGTTTGAAGCAGGGTAAAACATGTTGTTTGCTTTGGTATTTTAAGCACTGGACTAATAGTGCGATGAGGAGAGAAATGAGCACCTGTGACTGAATAAAATCCCACTTCGGCCTCTAGCGGCATGCTCTTGCTTGCAACTTGGGTAAGAGAATAACAGATTTGGCCTTACATTCAAGACTTTCCAAGTTGGTAAATAGCTGAGCAGAGAGGAGTACGAAAACTTTCTGGCAGGCGTTTTGTAAAATTGTGGTTGATCTTCCCAAGCCATTCCCGCTGTTACTTCTATGACACATACACATATATAAATACTCAAGAACATGGCCACACAAACTCAGCGGGTCTCTCTAGCCCGCTGGATGTCATCCTCCGAGTATCCGTTGTGCACTTCTCGGAGATAGTCATCGAACTTCTGCACCTCACCCATGACGACCTGTAAGTGGTTGTACTGCAATGGCTGTTGACGGTACAACGCGAGTTGTCGAGCGGTAGAGAGGGCGTTGCGGATGTCTCTTCCGTTGAGAGCTGGCCTAGATAGCTCTTCAAGGTTCTTATTCAAATCATCAACGTCGATCCCGTACCCAACCTTTGTGTGTCTCTGTGACTCAGTCAAGCCAACTTCCAAAGTTTGTTGAAAGTCGTCTAGATGCCCAATGAAATTCTTCCAGATCTCTCGTCGCTGGTGTTGGTCAAGGTTTTTGTAGTGTAGACTGAGCTGGATACGTGATTTGAATGCCTCATCGAAAGTCCCCACACGGTTACTGGTCAAAATCAAGATCCCTACGAGTTATAAGCAACAGTACTCTCGGGATAGATCCTAAATCTCTCTTACCGTTGTAGTATTCAAGAACCCTCAGGAAGACTATTGCAATTAGCAAAACTGGATCCCTTTTTATGAGACTAGTGGTTTACCTGAAACGAGAGCATTCCTCTCCAAACTCAGCAGAGATCGCTGCTCTAGAAAAACATCTGCTTCGTCCAGAAGAACCACTAGATTTAAACGTTAAGAAAACTTCTTAGGGGGGCGATATAGTAGCTACACACCGCATTTCCAGGTAGTTCCAAGGAGTAGAACACTTGCCAAGTACTAGCTACTGTCAGTATCAACGGAAGTAGAGACCCAATAATTCCAATGCCTACCTTCTCAACCACTTCTGCTTTTGTCCCGATATCACCACATGTGACCCTGTACAGTGGTCGCTGGGCGATCTCGGCCACACTTTAGATGATCAGTTAAAGGTCCAAAAAGTCGGGTAAAGAGGAAAGACCTTTCTGCTGTAAGTGTTTTGCCTGTTCCAGGGCCACTGAGAACGCTGGTTAGCAGTCCGAAATGTCAAAATGATCAAGGTTATCATTACCCATGAAGTAGCATAAATAACCCGCTTCCTTTGCCTTCGATTAGATCAGCTTTAGACTGCACGCTTAGTTGATTGCTGACTACGGCGCGAATCAGCTCCTTTGTCTCCTTATTGATCACAATATATTCGAAAGCCTTCTTATTCCAGCGCACATCTTCCAGATGCTGCACCTCGAGTTTTACTGATCTGGGTTAGCATTGATGTGACAACCATGTCGGGAAAGGCATCGGGTAATTTCCTACCCCATTCTTTATTTTGCATATTGAAACCGACAATGTGAACTGGAAGACACAGGTAAAATTTGTCACCCAGTGGTGGCTCATCTTGCTCCATGTTCTCTTTCCCGAGATCATCTCGCAAATCCGATGCCTGACTTGGATGCAGGCGCTTGTAAGTTTCCATGTCTATCATGTACCGTGAAGACTCGGCCTGGGCTCGATTAGTTACGGGACCAGAAAATTAGTCCAGATTACGTATTTCTTACCGAAGAGTGGGCATCGCTTTCACGATTCATCTTGGATGAGACGTAGTTTCGATAGCGGCATCTCCAAAAGAACTTGCCCCGGGCTCGGAGGGTGACGAGTATCTCAGGTCTCGCAAATCTCTTGGGATAAAATTCGAGGGACTTAATATCAAAGGCTTCCGTCTCTGATGGCAATGCAAATGGCGGAAGATCAGTCAGGGCTCGCTGAAAATTGCCATCAAATGTCCAAGACCAGACTTTGATCTTGGTCTGAACGCTTCCCTTTGCCCTTATCGTATCTGATACCTCAAATCCTTGGAGTTCTAAACGAGGATTTAGATCGGGGTTTGAAACAATTACCTCACCAGGAGGCTGCAATTCAATCAGTACGATGGGCTTCAAGCGGGCGCTTCTAGGAACACATACGTATAGATAGCGAAGGTAGTTGGGTGTGATTTTGTTTCTCGACATCAACTTGTCCACGCGGTTCCATTCGTCAGACATTCTAGTTTCAACGTAGTCGTTGAAAGCGGATAGGTAGGGAATATACTCCTGGTCGATATGCTCCATTGCTTCCTTGATATTTTGCCGACTGTGAAACCACCATAAATAAGGATATGTGATTTTCTCAGGATCATTGTCGGAAACCTCGTCGACCTCCGTGTTCTTCGTCTTGTGGGTGGATTCCATAAATTGAGGATGCTGAGAATCTCTCCAGGCCTGGTGTGAGAGCATTGACAGCGCATCTATCATGGCCCCAGACACAAATGCAATTGACTCATCTTTCAACAATGGTGAATACATGTCCAGGCCGTCATTATCTGCCTCGTGCTGCTTGATCTTGCTCTCAGGACCCCGACAACACTCCAAGTCCTTGTATACGATGAACGCGATATCTTTGTTGCGTTCCAGGTGGAGCTCCAAGTTGGTGATGGCCACTCGGCCTAATAGATGGATACCATCTTGAATCGTTTCGCCAGAGTTGTGCAGTTCTCTGTATAAAGTGGAAGATGACCTGGAAGATTTGGCACAGTGGATAGTATAGAGGATCTCTGCGCGGGGTGGACCAATAGTGCCTTGAGAATCGTAACGGAGCCTTGCATCTTTAAGCTCCTGCAGCGATGCTTCTAGATGATCCAGAATCTCTCCATCAGAAACTTCTGTTGAGAATTCCAGGATACGGCAGAGCTCAGCCCGCCAGTCAATAGTGGTGATGCGCTGATGAGCGCGATTCTGTTCTCGGGAACTGGGCGGTGGGGCACGCGGTTTACGTCCCTCGGTTTCACTTGCATTTGTTGGTCTGATTTTGTTGTCGTCATAACTGTCGCTTGAGTAGCCATCATCATGCTCTCCACGTCGCCTCGAGCGTGGGCCATCATGATAGCCCTTTGGAGAGCCTTGCGGGCGCCCGTGATTTGAAAACGGGTATCGTCTCATCAGGAAAATGGTACCGATCTGGATGTTTGAAAGCGAAGCGAAGACCGCGAAAAGCGTCGTCTACGCGATCGGGGTGGGTTGAAGTTGGGAGCTGGGATGGAGTGTTCGAGGCTTGCTCAATGTGGCGCGGGGCTGAGCTTGACCGCAGCACCGTGAATTCTCATGAGGATCCTGTCCCTGGCTTCACGGCGCCCCTCCTACGTTACGTCGCACCAGTAGTCAGCAAGGCAGAGAGGAACTGCCTTATGCTTACTAAGAGGATACTTGATGTGCATGATACCCATGTGAGGTCCCGCATATACTAACACATACCGCCGATTTCCCCATAGCTGTGTAGCTGCTCATAGCAGGTATAAAGAATCAAGCAAAGAATGACGTGTTACGTTGGGTCCAAGGAAACGAACCTGCTAAACGAGCTCAGAGCACAATCAGAGTGTGCTATCGACGAAAAAAGCCTAAATACGACAGGCATCACATGTCTTGGTCAGTTAGATGAGGCTTATTTTTCAGCAGTGAGAGATCTTTGCCAGGTCTTAGAGTGTAAGTAGCGAGATACAGGGGATATCTCTCTCATTTTATGATTATGCTGATGAAGGCTCCATATTCTACAGCCCTGGTGGGCGATTCGGGAGAACTACGTTGGACATCCGTGCGATTAGAGGACACATCATTAGTATGGAAGATCGTTGCCTTTTGCAAACCGCATGTCGGGTTTTTGGATCCCCGTTTCTTAAGGAAGCATGTCAAATATATCAGTAGTATTCGGCTCGACCCCTTCGAAGCGTATCGCGATGATATCTGGGCGCACCCCCATCTTTCATCTTGGATTGGGGCTGGAAAGTCTTCCATTCTATTGCTGCAAGGGAACCATGATTCTAGAGACCGGTCTAGGATATTCGCTGCTGAGCTCGCTGATCATATCGTGGAGAAACAAAAGCCTGTCGCCTACATGCTTTACAAGCCAACGTTGCCCGGTAGTTGTCATCCTCCATTCCCGATAGAGGAGGCTGAGGTATTAAGACACTTAGCGATCCAAGCGCTGCAGACGGTAGCCGATTGCGGTTCAATCCAGGTGCTTGCTGATCTAGTCGAGTGGTTTAGCCAGGCTAAGACATGTGCAGATTGGTTCAGAGTTCTTTGCAATGTCTTCTATCTGGTATCCGAGCTGTACGTTATTATTGACCTTGGTATCCACGCGAGTTCTGCGGATGCTGCTGAGGCATGGCCTTCTAGATTCCACGCCATATTAAAAGACGTGGGGGACATTTCACCAGAGACGATCATCCGAGTTATGATCATTTCTTACCATCCTCTGGATGCGCCTCAAATCTCAATCAATAGCTCAAAAATTGCTATCCTGAAGCCTAGCATGCACCCAGACCTCATACGAAACCGCTACTGGAAGGAGGCCAGAATTCCACCATCATTGTGGGAGTCTTATCAACCTCCTAAACCTCGACTAACTGAAATGAAAGCTCCAAAAAGTCATCATGGGAGTTTGGCCCTGGTTGATACTCATCCACCAAATGGTCCGGCGGATGGAACTTCAGTTAAGAATAATCATATCGACATGAGCATGGCTGTCTCAGTGGCGAAGGACTGCATGAGCAAACCATCACATGCAGGCGAATTTACAACTGCCATCTTCTGTGCACTTCCCATCGAAGCGGATGCCGTCCTATCAGTCTTTGATGTTCATTGGAATGATCATGACTATCCTAAAGCACCAGGCGATAGCAATTGCTATTCCGTCGGGGCGATTGGACATCACAACGTTGTTCTCGTGCACATCTCAGGTATGGGCAAAAGCAAAGCTGCTACAGCATCGTCTCAATGTCGTGTGACCTTCACTGGCATTAAGCTTTCCTTACTCGTTGGCATCTGCGGTGGAGTACCAGGTGGACCAGAGAGCGAGGGCGAAAGACTCCTTGGAGACGTGGTGATAAGCGAAGGTGTGGTTCAGTATGACTTCAGCCCTAGATTTTTTGAACATAAACCCAATATCCAGCAAAGCCTGTCAAAACTGGATGCAGCGGTTGGTGGTTTTCTTACCAAATTAAAAACGGCCAGATATGGCTCGTTACTGTTGGAAAACACACACGACTACTTGAATGCCTTGCAATCTCATTCAGACCAAAAAGCACAGTTGCAATATACCTACCCAGGTATTGAGAATGACTGTCTATACCAGCCATTCTACTTGCATAAGCATCATGAAAAGAGCCAATGCTCTTGGTGGGAAGATAGTTGCGGAACACTTGATGGTGTGTGCAAAGCGGCGATGAACTCAGATTGCGACTCGTTAGGGTGTGAGAACCATCAACTAGTACGGCGACGGAGAACGGAAAATCATGATAAACAGAGCCAAGGACACAACCTTGCCATCCACATCGGGAAATTAGCCTCCGGAGATACAGTGATGAAATCTGCAGAAGAACGTGATAGGGTTGCCCTCAAAGAAAAGATCATCGCGTTTGAAATGGAGGGCGCAGGGCTTTGGGACCATGGCCCATGTATGATCATCAAGAGCATATGTGACTATGCGGACTGTCACAAATCAAAAAGGTGGCAATCCTATGCCGCGGCGACTGCTGCCGCATGTACAAAAGGCATCCTAGAGCAGTGGAATTGATCACTTGGAAGAGACAGCAAGACTAAGACCTAATTTGGTTATTTCATAATAGCAAACCCAGTTTATCTTGGATTCATCGGACATGGCATAATCGGATCGTCTTATTATCTTCGGCTTGGTTACAGCAATCCGATCCAGATAAACGCCAAGATCATCAAGTGAGAAGTATCCTGCTTTGTGATCCGTTGAGGCTGTTATGTCTGTTAGTATGTACTCTAACAATTAAGGCACGCTTTGAGTTGGCCTTGATTCTTTGATTTGATACGATATCCAAAACATAGTCTAGGTAAAAGAAGCCAGTTTAGGCTGCGAAAATATTCACTGTCAATAATTCCTGGTGGTTTTACTGTTTACATTCATAAAAGTTGATGAATAGAACTACATCAAATATTCCTGGTTCAAGCTCTGGCTAACTCCTCCCCCTTTTTCCCGGGGATTTTAAAGGAATGGAAATTGCGGTGACCTTTTTCTTCCACAACATGCTGCTGGTCACTAGTGCTTTGAAGGTTTCCCTAGCTCCCTGCTCGATCAGAGGTTCCTCTGAAGCCCGTGCTCGATCCCCAAAAATCTCCGTCCGGTGGGCGTTGTTATGTCAGGTTGACGATGTGGCTCTCCATCATGTCCGATGTGTTTGCCTGCGGTCCTGCCATTGACGTTGCCTCTCTGTTTCGGCTTTAGTGGCTTCCTCTTGCTCGTTTTAAGGCAAAGTCAATATCTCGTCACGGATTTGATCGCGTCTTGCTAGCTCTTTCTCGACCATCTCGGGGCCAAAAGCTTCGGGTGAAGTTACTGTGGATATGGTTAGCCAATTCCCTTGGAGCTCATAGGCTGCCCTTACTGTCTTCCAAATAATCCTCCTCTAAGGCATTCAAAGTGTCACCATATCGGCCGATAAGACGAATGTTGCGTAACTAGAAGATATGTTCGGGCACGTTGGTATCAAGAAACCACTCGGCATACTCCGAAAACATCTTCAAATCGAACAGGTAATCTTTGCTCAATATAACATCTACCTAGAGGTCATCAAGGACATGGAAGTCGCATCGAACTGTTTTCCCGCCAACATTCCATGACACATCTCGTACAACGCCACTGGTCCAGTTGGTGGTTCCGTCTACAAACTAGACCTTAAGGCAGTTTTCGAAATCCCGGTCAACTACCAATGAGTTTTTCCGTGCATATTCGCTTGCTATAGGCATGATATCTGAGCCTGTATCGGGTATTGCTGCAGTAGGATGGCCATTGAGGTATTCCCAAAGCCGCTGCTTCTCCTCACCTACAAGCCTCAGCCGCAATCGTCTTAGCAGCTCGACTAGTTTGAATTTGATGTGATGGGTGAACCTAGTGAGTATCTCTGTAGCTCTTAGGAAAAGACTACCTAGAATTAGGTTGTGAACGCAACCCGGGATGATCCAGCAGTTGAGGATTGTCGTCTTCTGACCCTTGGAGAACTTCCAAGAGACCTCGACCAGTCCAGGTGATTGGATGAGTTTATTATTGGCGAGTTTTATAATTTTCGCTATTCCCATAGCAGGGGATAGACCAAGTCTAGAAGTTAGGTTGAGTGATATGAAGCATATATCAACACTACTATCTCGTACTCATTGTGTTGAGTTGTCGGGCTCTGGCAGCTTCCATTGCTGTTGAACTTTATTCTCTTTCTCTTACGTATCAACACTATTATCAGGAAAGACTCCTACTCGGGTTCCATTTACGTTCCCTTCCACGAAGTGCTCTCTCCCTAGAGCATCGCCCCTACTAAGATCTGCTTTTACTGGCTGATATGGCACTAAGTTTCTTTCAATTTAAAAGAAGGTTCCCTATGCAAGTATATACGCATACAATTAGGTGCTTTGCGGGCTCCCTAAAGAAAAATTTAGGTCTAGGGTAAGTACCTCTAGACGAAGAGAGACCCGGACTTTCCGTCCTACCCGAATCTGAACTTGGCTCATTTCCCCTCACATGAACGAATCGCTTCGCAACCAAGCATGAGCGATGATGCGATGATGGCTGCGGTTGCTGTCATATCGCCTATTGAAACGCTACCTACAGAGATCATTCAGCACATTGCCGAGCTTTGCACGTGGGACTCGGCTGCTCCGGTTGACGGTCGCCCTTCAGAGCAGGATACATGGCGCTATCGTCTGAGCAATGGTGAATGGTGCCCGGAGACATATGCGCGACATCATGCATATCTGGCTCGGGCTAGCTCTCATCTCTACGATGTTCTTAACAAGGGATTGTACACTCGGAATCTGGTTCGCGACCCTGGACGTCTTTCTTGTATCCGCTGGGCGGTGAGAAACAACCGACTCGAGACGCTCCAGCGAGCCCATCAATATGGCGGAGATGTGTCCTTGTATGGGCACGATCCTATCCCCGATATGAGACATGACGCTGATGGGGTTTATCGCCACTTCGTCGTGGTCAACAATGTCTACGTCCCATATCAATACCTGGAGGGATTGGGGACACCTCTTGTTCATGCTATCCGCAATGGATTCAGCGATATTTTTGCGTTCCTCTTACAGTCCGGAGCGGATGTCAACATACCATGCGAATCTGAGGGGGATTGTAGGTTCAATCGTGGGACCAATACACACACCTACCCACTACACTTGGCCCTTGCACACGGCCACACTGAGTACGCGGACGCACTTGTACATCATGGAGCGTATATGATTGCTGACAAGATCTCTGCAATTGATGAAGCTCACGAGAATCATCTTCAAGATGTATTGAGCGTTCTACTTCAGAGGACTGATCCGGTATCCATGATTGGAAAACTGCATTTAGCAGCAAAAACGCACAATTTAGATCTTCTCAAAGAAGTACTCCAACGTCCTGGATTGGATATTAATGCACGAGACTGGTACATGAAATGTGCTCTCTGCCTCGCTGTAGAATCCGCCGAAGATGATTTGGATGTCATCAATTTGCTTCTGCAGCACCCAGGCATCCGCTGCTCATTGCCTGACGAGGACACTTTTATAACACCCTTCCATATAGCAGCCAAAAGGGGACGGTTAGACATTGTTCAACTTCTCATGCCAATGCCTGGGGCTGAGGATGTATGTCGCGGGCCTAACGCCCAGAGCTTTTTACACGTGGCTGCACGGCAATCTAATAAGGAGGTATTTGATTTCTTCCTCAGCCAACCTGGTGTAGATGTCCCCGAGCAACGCCTCGGATGGGGTTCCCTCCTACACACAGCCTGTAAGGGTGAGGACGACGACAAATCCAGGGATTTTGTTCAGCACATGATCGACAATGGCATTCCTCTTGAGACAACGCACCTAACCCTGAACTCTACAATTTATCACGGCAACATCCGGACAGCCATAAAAATTCTTCCCTATGTACCGGACGCTCACATGACTCTTCCTTACCAACCTGCCTTTCCTCGCCGGTTCCTTGGGCCGACCACACCGCTTCATTATGCTCTCATGGAACCGCACCCAGACCAGACATCACTGGTGAAAGAGCTCATCGCGCGGGGAGTGGATGTCAATGCGTTCACCTCTACTGACACTCAGAGAAGGCGACTTCTGGGGTGTGGAGGCACCCCTTTGTTTTTTGCCGCTGCCTTCGCCCGAAACATTGACTGCATCAGGCATCTCATTGAAGCAGGAGCCGACCTCAATGTTATTGTCAACGGTCAATCGCCCATAGTTGAGGACTTTTCGGTAGAGCCTGGGGAAAAGCCTTCCATGTCATTGCTGGCCGGTGTGTTGACATATATATGGCGTGATCGAGAAGGCGTTGTTGAATGCCGTATTAAACATCCAACAAGGAGAGAGGTGCCCTTAGAGGAGAACTTGTCGGGGTTAAGAGACCGACTCCAGCTCCTCCTCAAACATGGCGCACAATTGGGCAGGGTGGGCAACTCTCCGTCTGCATTGAAGCTCATCTGTCTGGAGGCAGAGCAAAGCTCATCTTCAACATTTCTACAGTGGATTATATGTAACGCAACCCCAAGGAACGTGGATAGGAAACATATGGATGATCTTGTCCGAGAATTTCAGTTGCGCGACCAGAATCCAATAATAAGAGATATCCTGGAGACTCTGATAAGCTTTAGAAATATATGATAAAATATAAATAGCTTTAAATAACGGTTTTTTCGAAGCCTCTGGACTTTGGGCACCATTTCGCGTGAGGACCAAAAAATGGCTCCATTCTCGTCCTGCCATCCAACGAAGAATACTTCTTCCCAGCCCACCAAAACCACCAACTATGATGGCCACATTCTCTCGTGAAAATTTGGCACGAAGGGGCGCGGGAATCATTCTTACATGAGACTCAGGGTCTTGATAAGTCATGACTATTTTCCCAATATGCTTACCCTTAGAGAATTGGAGCAAGGCCGTAGCTAACTCTGAGATGTCGTAGGTGGCCGAATCTCGTATATGAAGCATGACTTCTTCGAAGCTCAGCCTGTGAAAAACGCCGCAGCATTTTTCCTGCGCCAGTGCACTCACAACTGGTGCGACCGAGATGTCGTTCGCATTTTCAAGGGGATCGTTCCAAGTCTTGAGGCGTCTGGTCCTGGTGTCCCCTTTCTGATAAATGACACCATCATCCCGGAGCCGGGGTCTATTCCTCTCCATGAAGAGCGAGCGCTCAGGCAGATGGATATGCTCATGATGATTGCACTCGGTGCAAAGCAAAGAACCAGGGCTGAATTCGCCGCGCTATTGAAAGAAGCTGACCAAAGATATGAGATTGTCAATGCATATGCAGAAGGCAGCAGTATGGGATTGCTCGAGGTAGAACTCAAGGTTAATTAGTTCCTCTAAACACTTTGCTCTAAGATTGATTCTTAGCATTCCATCTAAAACTAGAGAAAAGCCGTGTCTTCCAAGTTAAATAGATGTTGTCAGCATAAGAAACAAGACAAGATAAAATAACTCCCATTCTAGACTAATCGTAGAGTATGAAAAGGCTTGTCCCTATGTACATACCGCAGATAGTTTTTGTAGCAAGGTAGAGATTTATTTACCTGGGCTAGTCAGTCTCGATGTTGTGCACGTTGTCGATGTGAAGAGCGGGGTGGCCTATAAGGTCGATTGATGATCTGTAATCCAGGGCTGGGACTGTGGGCGATGATCATAAGATGGTGATGATGTTGTAGGTAGTTTTTTTTTACCCAAATACTTGGGCCAAAGAACCTGAAATGAAAAGCGTCACTCCCTGCCATTAGTTCTGCCGTATTATAGAGGTGATGTCGAAGTCGGCAACGTATGGACTCATACCCATGTATTTGCGATCAGAATGCGGCCCGTTCCAGCCCCTGCAGCTTATCATCATCTTATGAAATTTCCCTTTCCCTAGTGCGAGGGGAGGAAACGCGACCCGGGACATTGTAGGAATATGAGCAGTAGTGTCGAGCAAGTCGAAGTTTGCCGAGACTGCAAGAGATAAATTCCATAGCGGTGTAGGGTAAGCGGCTAGGTTTAGGGTCCGGCAATAAGGTAAAGAGCTCGGGCTTATTATATTAGCAATCTGCCTTCACGAAATGGGTCTCTTACCGCAATAGGAAATTTTCGGAAAGTCTTTGTAATTCCCTTGATTATCAATTGACGAGCACTAAAATACATTCCTGCTGGAAGTATAAAGCGAACCAGATTGACGCTTCAAACTCAATTATTCTTTTCAACAATCATTCCATCTTCATTCAATTAAGTAACTTGCCAAAAACCATCAAGCTACCTCGTTGCTCTCTATACCAACATCCACACCAACCATTACAAAATGTCGACTCCACTCCCCGGCGCTGTTCGCATTGTCTCTGACAACATATTGCCTCTTCCTGCTGGGTTCAATGAACCTATCGTGAAGACTACAAAAGACATTGTCGAGACACTGCCGACATTTGGAGGCCAATTCAGGCGAGCTTTCATTGGAAAGCATACCTTCCCAGCTACTAACGACGGCGAGTGAGTGTTGCCGAATCCAACTTCAGCGCCCTTGTTCCTTAGCTAACATCTTGAACTAGGCATATCGCTGACACTGATCCTGATGTACCGGTTGTGAACCCCGGCGGTGTCCGTATCTATTATTTGGACCTGTCTCCTGGTTTTGTCACTCCCATGGTTCGTTTGTCTGAACGGAAAGGGTTAAATCAAGCGCTGACACTAAGAAATAGCACCGCACTACGTCGGTTGACTACCTCACTGCCCAGAAGGGCAAGCCCATCTTGGTCACACCTAAAGGTCCTTTCAACGTCGTCGACGGCAAAGCAGACTACACTGAAACCACCGAAACCGTCTGCAATGAAGGCGAGACCGTTGTTCAGCGAGGCCAATTTCACGCGTAAGTGTTGCGAGGAATGCTTTGGTCACGAGATGATTGGCTAAATGAACCTTAGATGGAAGAACGACACCGAGGAATGGATCCGTATTCTCGTTGTAGCCATTGAGGCCCAAACCCAAGAAGTCAAGGTTGGTGACGAGATCAAGAAGCTTGAGGAGACTTGGCTGTAAATGAAAGTGCTATTGAGGTATGGGGGGCATTTTTATATGTATGTATCGCGCGAGAGGAAAGAACACAGGCAACGAATATTATAGCTGTATTTTATTCCGAAGAAAAGTTTTATCGAATAACTTAGACTCATTCTCTTGACTTACTGTCATATGAAATCATTCCTAACACACCGACATCTTTGTTATACTTGAAAAAAGGAGCTCTGTAATGATACAACCTACATGTATGTTAGATAAACTGATCAAGCGAGAGCTACGATGTGCTAGCCAAGGGCTGGACAGCATCGCTTTGCCGTTCATGGTTGATATGGGTTGCAAAGTAAGAGGAGCAGAGGTTAGGCTGGGCCTGATGTGGATTACAGGTGAGTACGTTTAAACACTGCCGCACAAAGATAACCTTATATCAATAGTTGGAGTAGTCTGGCAACCTGATTCGCTGTAGGTCGTCAAGGTGGTTAGCTGAAGCCTAGTTCCGTTAATTACCGCCGTCGTGAGAAGTTGGATTGGGTACCCCGGCAGCAATTACAAGTAGGCTGACAATTCCAATGCTTGAGTCGTGCTTAACCGACGCGATCTTGTTAGATTGAGACGGATATGAAGGCCGTGAAAAGGCCCACGGTTCTTTTTTCCATTCAGAGACAAGCTCCCAGCCCTATATGAAGGGCAAAGATAGCATTTTAAATATACTACATCTTCCAAAGGTCGATTCCCTTACCTCACAGGAAGTACTTTCTGAAGGATACGTGACTCGGAGTGTGCTTATTTGTCTCAACATTGACTTGCTGGCAAAGTATGTGCGACTCATATCTAGGCATTTCTAAGCAAAGATGAATCTTCTACAGGACATTCACGATAAAACACCGTGTCAATTTGTTGACTATATCGAGTGAAGAAGGAAACTTTGATGTTTGATTACGTATATTTGTAGGATGTCCCTTCTTAGACAGCAATTGTATCTATACTTGACGCCTTCTTGTGTGCTGGCATCCAAGGTAATGGTGGCCACTCCCCAGGATTAAAGGCGCACGAAAAAGCGTGGAATCCTGAACCGACGACCAACTCACTGGGAGGAGACTCCAGATCCTTCGTCTCAGATGGGAGAACGATGACTGCCTTGGAATTCGGGGGAACCTGTAACTTGAGTTCGAATTTCCCGTCTTTAAGCGCCCATTGAACTTTGATCAGGCCATAAGGGCCGTCAAAAGAAGCCTCAGCATTCGTGAGATTACCCCCAGGGATGGGCCTGACTTTGAAAGTTTTCCATCCAGGCTCCAACGGGCTGATGCCAGCTACCGTGCCGTGCAACCAATCCGCAACGGCACCGAGGGCGTAGTGGTTGAAGCTTGTCATCTCCCCAGGATTGATGGTACCATCAGGCAACATGCTGTCCCAGCGCTCCCAGATAGTTGTGGCTCCCATGCTCACAGGGTACATCCAACTGGGGCAGGTCGTCTCCAGCAGCATGCGGTACGCAAGCTGTGTTGCTCCCGTTGCCGTCAGAGCGTGTGTGATGATGGGAGTACCAGCGAACCCTGTTGCGATGTGGAAATGCGAAGAGCGTACAAGCCTGTTCAAAGAGGCTCTTCCCACCGCTAGCTGCTCCTTGTTCTTGTAGAGTCCATGCTGGATAGCAAGCGCAACGCCAGTCTGGGAGTTAGACATAAGGTTTCCCTTGGGACTGATATATTTATCCTGGAAGGTGACTCTGTGCGCTGCCGCATCCTCTGCATATTTGGCAGCGAGGTCGTTTTTGCCCAGAATGCCGCACACCTGGGAGAAGACATCAGTGACGCGGACGAGATAAGCATCTGCTACCAAGACTGAGTCGGTGCGTCCGTCGCCGGGAAACTCAGGAGGCGCACGAGGGTCAAGCCAGTCTCCAAGTTGCCAACGATCGCTATTCCACAAACCATCTGGACCACGGTCGATTCCCTTATCAATCCAGGTCTGCATGCTTTCGAAATGATACTCAAGCAGCTGAATATCGCCGCTGTATTTGTAAAGTACCTCGGGGGTAAGTACAGTGACGTCGTCCCAGATGGCTTGAGGCATGTGCGGCCAGTTTTTGGGAAGTATATCAGGACACACAAGTGGCGGAATCCCGCCTCTACCCTCTTCCAATTGCTCCGATACGACATCCTGAAGCCAGTCACTCAACATACCGGTCACGTCGTATAGGAAGCTAGCCGAGGGACAAAACACTTGCAAATCGCCTATTTGTGGCAGGCAGGGTTAGTCCATGTACAAAATACATCATTGGAAATCACGGAATTGGGAGAGAATACGAACCTGTCCAGCCTAGGCGCTCATCTCGCTGAGGGCAGTCGGTAGGGATTGAAACAAAGTTGCTTCTCATAGACCAGACGACGTTCCTGTGAAGTTGGTTGACCGACTTGTTGGAGCAGTTGAAATATCCACGCCTCTGCAGATCAGTGTGTAAGACCTGAGCGACAGGGTCATCTTTGGAAGGCAGTTCTCCTGGCCAGTTGTCAACCTGGACATATCTGAAACCATGGAACGTAAATCGAGGAGTCCAGTTCTGGATCACCTGTCCGGCGGAGATGACAGTGTCTGTGGCTTTGGCGATTCGCAGGGGACGCGTGCCTAGCTCTCCGTGCTCCATGACTTCGGCGTGCTTGAAAATGACGCGCTCTCCATCGGGTAGGGAGATGCTCTTGACTAGGAGTTTTCCAACAAGGTTTTGTCCAAAATCAATGATAGCTTTGCCGCTCTTGCTACGGAAGACGTCAATCGGAGTGACAGTTTCAGTCACTCGTACCGGTGGTGCCTTGGCAAAGAATAGACTGCCCTTCGGAGGCGGTATAGTTTTGGTTGGATTGAGAGAGGTAGAGCTATCAAGGCCGACCAATTTCCAGTTGTCCTTCTCATGTCTCGCATCGTAAGTTTCTCCGTCATATATCTCGCTTTGTTGGATAGCGCTGGGTGCACATTTCCATGAATCGTCAGTTTTCAAGGTCCATGGCGAGATTCCCGAGTCTTCTGACGCAGAGTGAACCTCTATTTGTCCTATAACAGCGAGCTCATCGCCACCGTAGATGAATCGTGTCCCACCATTGAAACCGAGTCGGCCGTAATACCATCCTTCTGCGACTTCGATGCAGACCGTATTCTGCTGACCAGCCTCCAGCAGAGGTGTAATGTCAAGAGCCCGGTAGGGAATACGATGTTGATAGCAGGTCCAACCAGGAGCCATAAACTCGTCGCCGGCTTGTTTTCCATTGATATAAACATCGAAAACCCCCAAAGCTGAGATGTAGATCCGGGCTTTGGAGACGGGGCCCGATGGCACGTCGAATGTTTTGTAAAATCGTAGAGGCTTGAGCGATCCGTTGACATTCGGCTCAGGCTTGGATGAGGAAGCAATCCACTGGGCGGTCCAGTCATGCTTGTCAAGCAAAACTGTTTCGATAGACGCAGTTTCAGACCATTTTGTCCAAAGAGAGTCGTTTCTAGACTTGGTTGAGGTGCCCCGGGAGCGGGCACGGATCAATGCCGATTCTCGGGATCTGAGGGGGCCCCTGGGCCATGGCACAAGGACTGAGGCGCTACTCTCGACATGGAACACTTCTGGCTTATTTCCGGTGGGTGAGCATATCTCAATTTCGTAGGCATTTTGTTCCCACCCTGATGCGGTGCCTTGATCATAGGCAAATTTCCATGAGATTCTTGGCTCGGCTCTTCCTGAGAAGAACTGGTCTCCTCGCAGGTGCTCGAATGTTGGCTTGGTAAGACTTGGGGTCGCAGAATCCATGGTCTAGGCAGTATGATCGTATGATCTTCGAGCTGAATATTAAAATACAGAGATAAAAACCTCACCAACCCTCATGGGATTTGCAGCTATCCCCAGGCAATAACCGACCATGGGGAGAGTCAGGCGGCGCTCTTTTCAACCCAGCTCGAGCTGAAGTAAGTGGCCCCCGTAAGAACCCACCATAAGTCATAAAAGCCTCGGTTTCGGTGTAATACAAGCCGAGAGTGGCTGGAGCTATTCTGGACGTAGGTAAACTTGAAGACGCAGTTTCGGGAATATCGCGTAACGCTGATGATATTCACTCCGCAACCCAAACCGAATGGACGAATGAGCTTGCGACCCCCGCTTCCATCGTCCACTTTCTTATGACTCGTGAGGGGGAATAAGGTGGAGATGCATGACAAGCTTGTGGTTTTGATTGGTAATTCTCCTGCTTGGTCTTCCATCAAGACCGGGGCGGATTGCCTAGCTGTTACCGAGATGATAATCTGGGCCAGAAATGGAGTTCGGGTTCAGAGACTTCCCCGGGCAAAAATAGGAGAAATGGGATTAGGAGACTGGATCCCCAGTCGGCATCTCCACTGCTCTGACCCCATGTCCCGAAAACAATCCACGGCAGTGGCTCTGAGAAGGTGAAAGAGGGGCCAAAGGTGAATTAATATAGAACCTAAGATCGTTAAGCTTTCAGTTTAGCTTTCTTTCCCGGCTCAATCTTACAACGAAGACTAGGATCATGGTTTGACATGCGTCGATGGTGTCGGTTATCTTTGTCCCGGTGTTCTTCCTCTTCCCAGCCAGCTGGTTTCCATATCACTTGAGGTTCCGGTTTCTCCTCTCCCCAGATATATGGAGCGGGGCCCTTCTGTACCTCCCTTCTTTAGCAACAAGAATCAAGCTTATTACACTGCCAGAGGGAAGGTTCCACGAGTTTGAACCTTTATTGAGCTATCCGACAAGATGGTACGACTAATTGTGATTGGCATTGCGCTGGTGGTAGCAATGGGAGGGTTCGTTTATGGCTTCGACTCTGGGATTATCGCGACAACCCTCGGCCAATCTAGTTTTAAGAGTTACTTCTACGGGCCGACTCTTGCCAACACGTCACTCTCTGGTAGGTGTACTTACTTCCAACTACTTGTTTCCACCCGATGGCTGACCTCGTTTCTGTTGTTTCCTCTCGAAGGAGCTATTGTGTCGGTCTACAATGCCGGTCAGGCAATCGGTGGATTGACCAGTGGTTTCCTTGCGGACAAATACAGTAGAAAATATGCCATGTCTGCGATGGCTTTCCTTTGTAGGTCTCGTTGTCTGCTAATCAAAATCAATTAGCTTACCCGGTGCCGTCATAGCAATTGTGGGAGCCGTCCTTCAGACCGCTTCTGTCCACGTCGCCATGATGATTGTAGGTCGCCTGTTGGCTGGCATTGGATGTGGCAGTCTCCTCTCAGTCGTGCCCGTTTACCTTGCCGAAGCCTCGCAGCCCGATAGTCGAGGATTTCTCGTTGGCCTTCATGGGATGATGATTGCCATTGGCTTCGGTCTTGCGAACTGGGTTGGGTATGGAGGGTCTTATGCTTCCTCACATGCCCAGTGGCGCATTCCGCTGGCAATGCAGATCCCCGTTCCCATCTTTATGATGATCGGCTGTGTTTATATTCCATTCTCTCCCCGGTGGCGTAGGTTTACATTCTCTCTTCCAACATATGCCGATTTTGTTCCTGGTCCTAACCATTGATGCAGTGGTTCAACAAGATCGTATTGAAGAAGCCGAAAAAGGTGTGTGGTACTTCCATCAATGCTGAGACAGAACGCTAATCCTCAAACTGCGATAGTCCTTCACAAGCTTCACGGCGTCGAAAACGAGAGTCTTGCCAGCCAGGAGCTCATCCAAATACGAGAGCAGCTTGGCTTTGAGCGTAGCCAAGGAAGCGCTTCCTGGTCCTTCGCCCTCAAGAAGATGTTTTCCAAACAGTACCTCCGACGAACCGCCACCGCGACATTCATCGTAGCCATGGGCCAGCTCAGTGGCTCGCAGGTTATTCAGAACTTCCAAAGTATCTTCTACGAGACTGTCGGCTTTACTGGAAAAACATCTCTCCTTATTAGCGGTATCTACGGCATGATGGGAATCATTGGCCAAGTTATCTACCTAACGGTTGTGGCAGACCGCTGGCCTCGTGTTAGAACACTTTGGATTGGCTCCGTGCTCTTGAGTGTTATGATTGCTGTCTGCATGGCCTTGAGTGCGCAGTACGGCTCGAAAGACTCGCAAAATGAGAATGGCGCGCGTGGTGCTATTGCCATGATATTTTTGTACTCGGCGCTGTACGCTGTCTTTTTCAATGCCATGGTCTGGGTCGTGCCCTCAGAGCTCTTTCCCTTCTTCTTGCGATCTAAGGGTCTCGCCTTTGCCGTTTTCACCAAGTCGGTTATTGCCATTGCGCTGTCTCAAATCACTCCCATCGCCATTAAGAATGTCAGCTGGAGGTGAGCAAGTTGATTCTTAGCTTTCAGGACAAAAAACTAACAGCAGAGTAGATACTACAGCCTGTATATCGCTACGAACTTGACGGCGGGTCTCATTTACTTCTTCTTCCTCCCAGAGACAGTGAGTTTGAATATTTTATTCGCCGATTTTCTTATTTCAGTGAGTAACTAATGGTTGTATTACTGTAGTCCGGGAAGTCCCTTGAGGAGATCGCTGAGCTGTTCGGCGACACTCTTGCGACTGAGCAGATCGGCTCTATCAATGTCGAAGAAAAGATGAAAGCCATGGAAGAACAGGACGGCGAGCATGATCATGTCGAAGCCACAAAGAAAGCTAAAATATGCCAATGGCGTCGGCAAGAATAATCGAGGAATACAACAAGCGAGGCGGGCTAGTTCAACAAAGTAACTCGATTGACTTGACGCCTTCCTCATTACGGAAGATTAATACCAAAATTCTCAGGTGTTCATTAGATTCAATAGAGTGAAGCCGATCAAACATTACTGGGTTTTTGATTCTTGATCAATCGAACTCCATGATAATATGCCCGGTGATTGAAATAAGATCAAGCGTTTGTTTGTAACACTCTCAAGCATCCCGCAGCATGCTTGGTATGGCGGTGCTTCTTCACATAGGTATACTTTGTCTGTTATGGACATATTAAATCAAAACAAAGAAACACATAGATGAACCATAAAGCCGAAAGTTGTAAAATGCCCTCGCCTCACATCCATATATCGCGAACTCGCCGCATCCCAGATATACTTGGAATCAAACGCCACAGGCATCCTCACTGCTCTTCCCAGTAGTCAAGTCGTTTCCATCTGAATCGCAATTATAATATGTCGGCCCGAAAATGGTACCATCACCTGAAGTCCAGCCGGGACATTCGCAAGTGCGGGACCTGGTGCCAGCCGCCACACCCGCAGGGACGGCAATGATGATGATGAGGAGCAGAAGGAGGAGAATCCCAACAATCCACTGCTTCTTGCGAGTCCATGTTCGAGGGTTGGTGAAGACGCGACGCACGCGCTGTTTGAAGGTCGGTTTTGCAGCGACTTTGTCTGTACTGCCCCAGGTCTGGAGAGGTGGTGCTACACCTCCCCAGGCTTCCCGGTCGGTGTCGATATTGTAAACATCGGGATAGCTGGGCGGGTGTTCAATCACAGGGTCTTTGGAGTAATCCATTTTGACGGAATGCCGCTTGATGACTGCTCACGGCTTTTTTTAAAGGGTAATCATTCTCAAGGTTCGACTCTGTACCGTACGTCTTGGATTTCAGGATCCGCTACACATATATATAATTAAATTCGGCTTATATTGTGGCTCGTATCAAACTATAGAACCAGGTTTGGGATATCCCACTCTAACGCCACAGATTGAAAACACAGAATTTCCTACAATAGTTAGGCAGGTATCTAAAAAGTATGTAGCTAAGAGCTGTCTACGCGTAATGCCTACGCGTCTATCCAATGACCATAAAATGAAATGTCGGGCCCTAAACCTACGAACTAGCTAAGAACTCATATCCAATCGTAACATAAGAGGCTGAGCTGTGAAGGTTGCAAAATACAATTCCAGGCCGTGCCGCTAGTTCCGTAGCAAAGAACTGCGCCGAATTCCCGGGAACGCGGAGGCAAATTCTAGGGACGGAAAGTTTGTTAGGCCGAACGATCCGAAGACTAAGATTAAAAAGGCAAAAATGATTTGGACTGAATAGAACTTAGTATACAATACTCTTGGGGGACCAACGAACATCAGATATGCCAGTATTTGAAGGGGTGGCGGATGATTTCGAATATGCGGCGATTACAAATTGTTTTCGACGTATTTATGCTTCCACGAAGCCTCTTTCTGCACAGAAATCTCGTTCGTATAGGACTAAACTAAAGCCTTTTAATATCGATTGAGAGAGTAAACAAGCACCGAGTACAGACAATACCGGTGACAAAGCTCGTGGAAGATGTCGCTCTGGGGAAATCTACTTCCAATCTTTCTGAAAAGAACTAGATATGACGTAATGTCTGTAGGCTATATTCAAAAGGAACCAACATATGGGTTATAGTTGAACTGTTCACACGAATCGACGATCTTCTTCTCACTTGTACCTCCAAGTAGATCGGCTCCCCCACGCTTCACCCTAAAATCTTGAGCGCCAACGCCCATCGTGAAGTTAAATGTATGAATACCAGCCTCGGCATGAACCGTAACTGGAGAGTTGCTTCCGCTCGTGACCGTAAGCTCGCCTGCTTCAGTAAGCATTGTTGTGACGAACACCACGTCCGCGAGAAGCTCTTTCCCACGTGGTGCGCCCAATGTGTCAGCGCTGCACGCGACGTCCTTCGGGTGTGGGCGGAACCAGTAAACAAGCTGGTCGGATTCGACGGTGGGCGTAGCTGCGCCAGCCTTGTAGGCGGCAATGTATGGCTTCATCAAACTCCTCCATGCGTCATGGGGAAACCCGGAAGCCCAAGCAGAAGACCCATCATCACTATGATTTGGCTGGCTCCCACTACATTTCCTGTTAGAAACTGATTTGTTTACATATATATACTGCGGTGATGATCACTCACGAGATATAGTGGCTCTCTCCAAAATCTGGTCGATAAATTAGTCGCGAATCGCATCAGATAAGAGATATCTACGTACCGTTCCAGCTGATGATTTCAACCAGCGCAGGCTTCATCTCCAGCATCTGTTGCCATCGAAGAGTGGGCTGCTCCTCGCAAATAAATACCCAGTTTTTGGTATTGAAGTGCGTGAAAAACCACGGTGACACGGCTGTGAGCTAGTCAACCAGAGGCTCTTGAAATTTATCATAGGTGTTCAAGCACTTACGAGCCATATAGGGCCTATCACCGAGGCCTTGAAGGAATCTATCATCCCAAATTGTCGTCATTGGCCCGGGAATCACGCTGTTTCCTCCGTCGGTTGCCCACGCATACCACGAAAATGCTCCATCAAACCCCGTAGTCGCGTGTGGGATCCATGCGGGGTCTTGGATCATTGGAATAGGAGTGATCTTATGATTTGGAATTCCGTTCTTGACGGAATTCCAGTCCATGTTGTCGCCTACAAATGTACTCACGATAGCGCCATCGTTGTAGTGTGCCTGCCCTGCGTGTGAGCTGTAGTTCCCCACCATCTCCGTGATCAACTGCGTATCGCCGGTAGACCAATATGCAAAATCAAATGAGATGAACATTTTGAACTCAAGCTCTTCGGCTGCCGCGTATGCGAGGGCCAGTTGCTTAGGAGTGTAAGCATCGACACGCGGAGGCGCACAATTCAGTGCGAAACCATCGATGCCGATTTCTTTAGCCTGGTTGATGTCTACTTTCCAGTCTTCAAGAGTATAGTTCTCAACAATGCCAACCTATGGCCAATAGTTAGCATCAGAAGCCCAGAGTTGAGGAAGCTGTGCGTCCTGACCATAAAGTGTGCGTACACGGGTTTCTGTCCCTGAACAACAGAAACTACCCCGAGGGCCAAAACCCCGGCCATAAGAGCTCTTGAGGTTTGGAACATGTTCGAAAGTCATACAAGATATGATTGATTTTGAAGCGCTGAACTGGTAAATTCTATCCAAGATGTCGTGAGAAGCCAACAATTGCGAGCCTTTTTATGCTCTAGATATCGTGACATTGTGAGGTGTAGGCCATCGGGCCTTTTTCTATTTATCCTGGGGAACGTTGCAAGCTCACTGTGCATTACGATGTTTCTGTGTGCATTACCTACCCGAAACAGTCATCTTCACAGCTGCAACGCATGACAATCCTTTATGCAGAGAGCAATTTGCGGGGAGTTGCACCTGTAACGTCGTGACCGTAGGCTGATCGACAGGTGTGGTCCGCTTTGGAAAGAATACGACCACAAGAGAACCCAAAATAGCAAGTCGGGGTAAATGAATCGCCAACTTCAGCGAAACCACCCCTCATGACTGAAACATGTCGTATTCTGACCACTCAACTGGCAGCTAGATGACAATTGAGATGCCGGTTATCTTGGCATAAGCCTACTAAACGTAACTTCAAACTGGAACTGAATATCACATCCGGCGAGTATTGTGAGTCCAATCATGGATATCATGAGGTTGAATTCAAGACATGTAACTGCCGGGTTCAGATCCCTACCCTGAACGGCGTCACCTCAACTACCGCACTTTCTATGTCATGTGCTCTGCCATCCAGTGTATTTTTACCGGATGACTTCTCAAGGTTTGTTACCAGGCGCAAGAAATTGGAATGTGACATGAATCCGAGGTAGCCTTTGAACGCATGGAATAGGCATATGGTGTTGATGTGAACTGCCTCAGTACAGGACCTACCACACCTTGGTGGCCCATGATACGACTATATACGTCTCATTCAATTGCTAGGATATTCGAAATCACACCACGTATAAGACCTTCCTCAAACAGTGGAAATGCCGCTTACATACACGATTCACACAAAACTGGCCTCAATACAAACAACTCAAATTTAGTCGAGTCCCCCGCCTTCCCCTCAAGATAACCGATCTATGCCGAGACTCCTCCCCGCTTCGAGTACCAAGCCCATGCATGACTTTCTTCTCTTTGTGGGCACAAGGATGGTGGGACTCTGATATAGACGATTTCCTCAATCACAGTCTGGTTATTTACCAAGAGTCTTAGGCATATGAATGACGTAAAGCAATACAAGCGGAGTTTGAAACGCTTCTTTCTATATGGCGTGACTTGTATCCAGCCTAACCATGTGCTGGGACTGACGCCCGTTTTTATTGGGCGGGAACCTCAAATCTTATCATGAGAGGGGCCGTAGGAGCTTCCAAAACGCTACTTGAAGAGGATTTCGCTTGGATGTGTGTAATCTAACAGATGGTGCTGGTGCGTGGCTGTGATATGGATGAGAGTTTAGCGCCCGATGAATACATCGAGATGGAAAATAATCTCGCAAACTGAGGCTGCATGGAACGAAGTCCGGACGATTCTGCCTCATTGCAACCATCGGACGCGGGGCAAGCGGATTAATGTAATTGAGTTATCTATAAAGTGAAGGCCTATTCTGTAATACCTAGTCAGTTCTTTCCTTTTCAGGCTCAAACAAGCAATTTCTCTTGCAGCCTGGTAACTTTCTCCTATCGTCTACCGGTATTATCCGGTACCTTTGCCCAAGATCAATCAACCAAAATCAAATGTTTGTTTGAGCACGACTATTAACATGAGACACAAATTCTTACTGATTGTCGTTCCATTTTAGGTGTCAAAAGAACGGAGATTGTAGTAGCTCGGGCTGCTCCTCTTCCTCTTCGGCGAGTTAGTTCTCAGCCATGTAGAAGGAACAAGGTTAAGTTCAATTTAATATCATAAGATAAAAAAAAGTCTAAGCTACGAGGAGATTGCTTTACGAGGGACTGTAGTTGAGAAACAGGTATTAGGATGGCTGCACACAACAATGAGTGGTGGGTTGCAACCTGACCTCATCATTACACTAGACAAATCTCAGTACTCTACATACCGGAAAATTTAAAGTCGAATATTTCCAACAATTTCAAACATCGGAACATATACTACCAGCAGTGTAACTCGAGGTGCTACCATATAATTGTTCGTCAATAGAGCAGACATTCGAACTCAATTTGTGGAACGGCGTGCGCGGAGCTTACAACGTGAGGGTAATAGGAGATCTCACCAAAAATGTTCGTTGTTCGGTCTTTTGTGGCTATGGGCCCTGACAAACCACAATAATAATAATTACGCATCAGCCGTATTCGCTGAATCCCGAGTCTCGTGTAACACCCGCCATTTGTCAGCACCTGTTAGATGGAACGGTGTGAGGTTGGTAATACGAGTATTTAAATGACATTCAGCCGACCAGCTTCGGGACTTAGCTCCATGAAGGGCCACATCCGTGGGCACTGTGCTGGAACGGGGCAATTAGACGAGCCGAGCGTTATGCATATACGACCGGCTGGCTTCATCCTATAAACCAACTTAAAGTGCTCTTGTTTTCATTCATGATCATGCTCATTCCCATCCTCACTCTTCTACTCACATCCATCCCCACCAAAGTTGCAATCAAGCCTCGATTTGCAAGCCGAACTCTACAATGCCTGAGATCACCTTGTATCTTGCCAATGGGGCCTGTTCCCTGGCAGCACATCTCCTCTTGGAGGAATTTGGCATCCCCTACAAGACAGTCGTCATGAAGATGGGCCCCAATGGCTGGGCAGCTGTTGACGGCAGCATTAGCGCAGACGAGTACCGTCGTACAATTCATCACGCCAGCCAGGTCCCAGCCCTTAAAGTCGACAACGAAGTTATAACCGAGAACCCTGCCATTCTGGGCTTTATTGCGACACTGAGCCCGGAAAGAAAGCTGACAGGCAAGACGGCGTTGGAAAATGCGCGCACTGCGGAGTGGTTGGCATGGATATCCGGCACCCTGCACGGGATCGGATTTACCATGATGTTCCGCCCTGGTCGTTTCTGTGATAACGAAGCAGAGCATACCAGGGTCAAAGAGATGGGCCGAGAGCAGGTTCTGACTGGGTATAAAATCATTAACAAGGCGTTGGAGAAGAAGGACTTCCCGGTCGGCGGGGCGGAGACACTCGTGGATTACTTCATGGTTCCTTTTTGGCATTGGGGCAGTGCCTTTGGTATTGATATCTCATCTTTCACCAACTATACCAAGTTGGTCAAGAGGATAGAGGCAAAGGAGTCGGCAAAGCGTGTTCTACAAGATGAGTCAGTGGAACCTGCACAGTAGCAAATTCCAAGCCGACTCACCAGAATCAAATTTCGTGTTCTGAATAGATAGTGCTGATTGAATCGGTCAAATGCCGTTTCAACTATTGTCATTTCAACTAGAATTATACAAGTTTATAGAAGTACATAACAGATGAAAACTGGTAAATGGACGCTTTAAATAGAACGAACATGTCATGAGAGTACCCATACTAGATTCCCTCACCATATCCTTTGCTATAAGACTCTTAGGTCGCCGCCAGTTCTAATTCAGTTTCTACGCATGTGAAACCCGTTTCACAACGGAGGTAGATTCCTTGGTATATTAATTGCCGATAATAAACCTCTTTTACAATACCGTCTACGTCAGCCATTCTGGATAATGCGCCCAACGAGACAGGTACTTGGAATAGTGCCGCTTCTGGTTTTATTTAGTGTTAGTAGATATCTGTAGACTATGGATTGCGACAGAGTATAGGGAAGCTCCATGTTAAGTCGATACCATGCTTAAATTATACTCTCTGGGAATTTCTTTTCTTGTTCTTCGTATCCCATCTCACAAACAAGCTAGGAAGATGTGGGGTTTTGTAAACTCGGCTGCGTGCTTGTAAGTAGTGTCTATTACAATGTGGTCTTTTCTCTTTGGGGTTTACTTTACCCGATCACTTACTTTGATAGTTTCGTATCTTACTCTTTCGGCTACTCTCTCTCGATGAAACACGAGATAAGAAGCTGGAAGTCATGGAACACTCACCCAACATTTCGTATTCATTGTGTTGAGTTGTCGGGCTCTGGCAGCTTCCATTGCTGTTGAACTTTATTCTCTTTCTCTTAGGTACTCACCCAACATGGTGGAGCGAGTCTTAACATATTGAGAATAGTTGGTACAGAATCAACATCTATCACTCTCTAACTGAGCATATTGCTTACCAACCACAAATTTCTGGCGCCGACATAGATTTAGTTCCAGTTGTCACGAGCTTTTGGACACGTTTGCTGTGAGCTTGCACTTTGCTCGTGTTTTCTCAACTAGCGTCTGGACACTTTTCCCAGTATTATATTTTCTATTCGACGAACCTGTCTCTGAGCAAGTGTCTGCCCTCAAAGCTATCTGATAAGGAGGTTGGATGGCATGATACTAATGTATCTTAGCTACATTTCTGAACAATAATCCACTACTTTGGATGTAATCCTTTGTTGGGTTTAATTTTAAACGGCGTTGCTAGACCAGGAAACAGTTCTCGCGTCTATATTAAGTAACTCACACCCCTAAAAGGAAGTTGAAGCTGAACGACATTTTATAGGGCGTGGGTGGGGGGTTGTTGCGGGGATAAAATTGCGACAATCGGTCCCCAAGGCCCGATTGTCGGAGGCCCAAATGTCGGAGTTTTCTATAAGAAGCCGATGCACCAGTAGGTAAAATGGTGTCATTGAAGTTGAGCAGGCCAGTCCCTATTTTTCAAGCGGGGAAGATGTCTCTCATACTTCGTGTAGCCTCGCCAGACACGACTCACTTGTTTGTACTTGATCAAAATCATGGCTCCAGTGATTCCTGAAAGCCAGCAGGCGACCAACGACCCTGAAGCTCACAGGTTGCCGCTAACTTCCGAGCCCATAGTTGAAATGTCCGTAGCGAGCTCGTCTTTGGACGAGGTAGATGACTATCTTGCACCAGACGGAGGTTATGGCTGGGTCATTGTTGCTTGCATTCTGGGCATCAATGTTGTCACATATGGTGCGATGCCTCAAACTTTGTTTATGTTGGCCCCGTAACCCAGGAAATCAACTAACTGTGGCGTTTTTGCGTCTTTGGTTTAGGTATCAACACTTCCTACGGCGTATACATTGCTTATTATCTCGAACACAACTACTTTGATGGCGCGACTTATATGACTTACGCCTTCGTCGGCGGCTTATCTGTGGGCATAGCATGGTTTTGTGCACCAGGGATTAATTATCTTGTGAAGAGATTTGGCCTGAGAATACCCTTATTCATGGGACTTATATTCATATCCCTGGGTCAATGCCTTTCGGGTCTCACGCAGCATCTCGCCATGTTTGTTGTATGGCAGGGATTGATATTTGGAATGGGTATGTGCTGGTTATCTAATCGAGTCTTGATCCTCACAATACTAATAGTTCCAAGGCCTAGGATTGGTGAGCAGCTTATTCGCTTTTAAGTCATGAGACTGGCTGGTGATAGAGTTAACGAATGGGTAAAAAAAGACTTCTCTTCCACCGCAACAACTACTACCCCAGTGGTTCGACAAGCGACTGAGCCTAGCTCAAGTAAGTTCGATCACGGAGCAATAACTTTCAAATCATGAAAAGGGTAGAGCTGACGCTGCAGTATCAGGGTATCGCGACAACTGGGTCTGGAATCGGAGGCCTGATTTTTTCCAACACAACCCGGGCCGCCCTTGCGACCATGGGCGTCAAGTACACCCTCGTCATGAATGGCTGCATTTCCGCCGTTGTTCTCGTACCCTGTCTGGTGCTCTTGAAGGGTCGAACTGCAGTAAACGTCAGAGTCGAACCTCTCCAACTCAAGTGGTTTGTACACGGGACATTCTTCTGGGTCTGGACCTGGGGATTTTTTGCTGGTATGATTACATACGCTTCTTTATTGGCAGTAAGCAAGCTAATACATTTATATGTAGCCATGGGGTACTTCATTGCTTTGTATTCTCTCGCGCCTTACGCAACAGATGGCATCGGGTTGACACAAACGCAAGGTGCCGCGCTCCAATCCATACTGGCAGGAGGCCAGATTATCGGCCGCCCATTAATTGGTCTGGCCCTCGACAAGGGCGGCCGCTTTAACATGACAATCATTGCCAATATTGTTGCTGGATTAAGTTGCGTGGCCATTTGGATGCCGGCTCGGTCATTCGCCGCGCTTGTGCCTTACGCCATCTTACAAGGCGTAGTAGGCGGCACAGTATTCAGCGTCGTCGTTCCTGTAACAACGTCGGCGGTCGGGGTCCTTGATATGGGATCGGCATTTGCGATATTTGGACTAAGCGTGGTTCCCGCAACTACATTTGGGCAACCAATTGCTGTGTCGTTGATCAATTTCTCCAAGGATACTCTTCTGAAGAGTGGGGGAGATGTCTACCAAATATCAATTGGACTATGTGGCGGTTTATTTTGGGTGAGTGCGCTCTTGCTGTTTGGTGGCAAGGTAGCCATTCAAGGCAATATGAAGTTGCTTCAAAAGGCTTGACGCATTCGTGTCATGATGACTTGAAATTAGCTTGAGGGAAAAGAGTCATTTGCTGTCAATAAAGCTCCATATTATCTTCGCATTGACTTGTCAAGGGAAGAGAAAACTCTTCAGCTGGTACGATAATCTGCACTCGGGACTCCTGTTTGAAAATGCATGGTCTTCTGTGCATACAGATATGGTTTAGTTTTGATATTTATCCACCAGTTGTTAACAAAAACGCTGGTAAAGGGCAGCCAATCAATGTCCTCTTGTGAAGATATTTTTGAGAAAGTATAGACCTTGTTTACAGACAATCCCTTGGATTCCAGCCCTGCCACATACAGGGTTGCTTATAACCCCTAGGATTTAAGAGGAAGAGTCGTAAAAGAGACCTTTCCAATGCCATGAGACCTTTTGACCTGAATGGTGTAGATAATCAGAAGGCAGGCAATCATCGACCATCCGACACAAACCACTCTACAGGTTTCCCAATAAACCCCAATTCGAACTTCGCTGGAATTCAATTTTTGATACCTCGTTTCCACCGCGGCGATGACATCGACAAGATGTCGGAGAACAGAAAGCGCATAGGGAATCATTGGGGAGATATGTAACTGTTGGAGTCAGCTTGTCAGTCGACGATAACGCTAAAGCCTTTGGGGGGACAATAAAGTGACCTACAGATTGGTGAAAGAGCGGACGAGCCTTGACAAAATAGATGAATGATATAGAAGCGGCAAGGATAAAAAGTGTAGATATGCACATGTCCAGAAGAATGCTAATGGTGTGCAAACTTTGCTGATATTTGCCCCCGAGAGTACCAATGGACGTCAAAAAGCGTAAGACAGCCACCATCTCGACAGCCCGAGCGAATATTTCGTAGTGCTTTACAGGCTGGTGCACGGAGACGATTTTCGCGTCGTCTCTAGTTTCCTTTTGTGGATATCGTATCTCAAGAGAGAGTTCGAACTGTGCCAAGAGAGCAGAAGTGAAAGTAAGGGTGGCATAAAGAGCGGTAAAAAACTCGATGCATCTCCTAATATCCCCGATGTACGACTGAAATCGATCGGAAATGCGGGCGTGATATAATGATCCTACGCATAGCTCGAGGAACCAGATTGCTAGCCATCTGAAACCAAATCAAGTTAGTATTGAATTAGGATACGTCCAAGCTTGTAACATACACTGAGGTGCGTCCTTTGGCTTGTCCGGTTCTGAACGAGCATTTATTCTCATTCTTACTGTTCTTAAGCAGTTTAGAACAGTATGGGACCACAAATAATGCATGGAAAACGAGTGCTGCGCCAATCGATATTAAGTTGAGGCCGCCAATAGCTTTCTTCATGCTCTCGCTGGACATCATGATGGCGGTAGTGAACTCCTTAACTAAGAATGCTTTCGATGGGGAGTTCCGTTGGAGCAGGCGGGACCGCCCTGATATATGTCGAAACAGCACAGCAATGGAGTTGCTTGTCTTGAAAGTATTTTGGCTGCCTGGAGACGGGATTCTATTCCATATAGATATATATCTTGGTTGCCTTCTGACGGACGGCACAGGCGCATGGGAGTAGTCGACCCATCGGACTCCTGCGGCCCACTTCAACTCTGTAGCCCATCGGAGAGTCGCTTTCGGAAATATTTACAGGTCTAAAACCGTTAAGCATAGAAATGTTGGGACTAGTTCAATCAAATTCAGACATTAATTTAGCTCTAGCTTGAAAATCTGTCATGGAAACCCCAGTCACCGTGGCTCAATTAGTCCATCAGCACCTGGGGAGACGGCTCACTCGGCCCCAGGAACTACGACACCCGATAGCGAGCGCGAAATCAACCAGATCCGATAGTATCGACAAGGCTGGGTACTGTACCAAGATCTGCAGTTGGTCTGTTCTGCTGCGGTTGCCGGAGCCATGACCTGTTGGCACTGAGGCTGTGTTAGCAAAAGGACCCAGTCTCGGCTCAAGGCCAATCAAAATCCTTGGCAGTAATATTTTAGGCCTCGGCTTTTGCTTGAGTTGGAAGGATTTGCTGGAAATTCTCTGATCAGCACCCCCACATCCCAATCCTTAGGCTAGAGGTGGCTGTGCTGCTGGGGCAGTTAGAGAAAAATTCATGGGCCGTTTCACATTGATCAAATCACGTCCCGTTCCTCTCGGTTTCGCATGACAAGGTGTTACGTATTGAAAATATATAACCAAAGCTACTCGGACAATAGACGCTGAAGAGCAAGACTCAATAACCCTAGGCAGGGACACACTGAGAGTACCATTCGTTGGAATACTGGCACTTGTAACCCGAGACGCAGGCCGTAGGACCTGTCCATCCCTGACCGCCACACTGACCGAATGCTGGAGCAGTACCACCGCTGGTAGAAGTTGGGTTGGCAGCCGAGGAGGTCGAGGTCGAGGTTGGCGTGGATCCAGACCGCCATCCTCGGTTGCGTGAGAGTTCATACCACCAGTTTCGAAGCATCCAGCCATCAAAGTCGGTGATTTGCGTTGCAGAGCCGGCAAGCATGATGAAGCTGCTGACCCCAGTTGGAGTCCAATCTATCGATTGTCAGAAATGAAAGTGGCTCGCCGGTTATCTTCGGAGAAACACGTACCGTAGAAATCATCTAAACCGAAAGTGTGTCCCATCTCGTGAAGCAGAATATGAATATTAGACGAGGTGAGAGCGCCCATGAAGTATTCTCTGCCGATCCTCTGTCCCCAATCACCACCAGCGCCACCACCGAACCCGTCTGTCAGCCAAAGAGATTGGTCATAATGGTTTGCAGCCCCCCCAGGGCATGAGTTATAGTTTCCATCCTGATGGAAAAAACGCCCGCATGCTTCCGAACATTGAGGGGCTCCACCACCATCTGTATCAGTATAAACGGTAATCCCAGAGGTTGAGCCTTGAAGCAGCGACCTATCTCGGACTGCCCAGCCTACTACATTGACCTGTATGTTGGAGTACGGGAAGCTGTCGTACCCATAGAGCCACTGGAACCATTTCTGATACTGCTGGCTCGCTACGGTGGCAATCTGGGCGCGCTGTGCCTCTGTCACAGCTGTGCTAGACTCCCATCTCACACAGAGGTTGATTTTTCTATTTCTGATTAATACAGCTCAAACTTGGATTGGAGATAATAAATATGTGTGTTAATGTATAGTCATACCCTCCAGTAGCCATGATCTGGTCCCAACCATAGTTCTTGAATCCAAACAGACCATTCGAGTAAGTGTTCAGACAGTGATCCCACACTTGCTTCAGCGGCGTTGCCAAATTTGATGGAGGGCTCCAACCAGATTGGCGCTTGACAGGTCTGTTCCATAGTTCATTGTTGCGAGCAGAGACCGCATTAGCTTCAACGGCAGGCCAACTGGATAAGTCGGCATCCTTGGTATCCGACACGTCCAAGGCTAAACCCAGGGACGATATCGAAAGGAGTGACGAGATCAGTGTCGCGCGCATGATTTCTTGAGGGGAGGTGAGTGTTTAGCGTTGTTCGAGTGCTCGGATTTGAGATATCCAACGCGGGAGGAAATGGTTTATATGTGACCTTTGATATATGGCCATGAGGAGGGGTAAAGATATCTTGGCCAAATCAATACAGAATGTTATTCCTCCAAAGAGAGTTGAAGGATTTCCAGACTAACCGGGTGATCCTTCCATGACCACCCAACGGAGAATCAAAGACGAAAGTTACGGGCTCTATCCTACTGCCAAAGCCCGAGGAACTGCGTCTTTTTGGAGTTTGGCTCTTGGCTTCCTCTTTGCGATGTTAGCTTATTTCAGAGTCAGGAAGCGCGCCAATGGTTTCATCTAGAAATCACGAGAGGACAAAATCTGATGTGGCTTGCACGTTAGACTCTGCTCTTGTGCACGCACTCTTCATGTAAAAGGAGGGAATAATTTGTTCTCATTGGGCAGTAAAAAGTAGCCAGGGTGTATTCAAATCCCCGGGTTGGGGACGGATGGAGGCTTCGCAAGCTGATGATCCGTTGCCCAACGAGGAAAGTGATAGATAGCGAGCCTCTTTAAGTCGATTAGAGCCCCCGGGCTGGGAACCTAAAATATATTCATACGCTTTGAGTAACATTCGGATAGCATGCCGTAGTTACTTAACCAAATCAGTATCGGATGAGCAGATATAACTCCGTTAGCTCCTCAATAATGTCTCCTCGCAATGCCCCCCTCGCTCATTATTCTCAGTCGTATAAGCATACCTTTTTGGGCGTTATTGAATCGCTTGTAACATATCGAAACAGGCCGTATCCCATCATTGGTGGCGCAAAGGACTGCAGACAGCCAAATCAGACTAGACGATCGTATAGGCACGTGGATAGAAAATAGACATGGTTCTTGCCTGATATAGCTGAAATCCAAAACTTATGATTCCGAAATAAGATAAGTGAAAAACATGCTCCGGGTTCTTATCCGATCATCCAACCTCTCCATGGAAGCAGCCTCCTTAGCACTAGCAAGCTTACTACGAAAACCTAACTCCAACATACCGCTTTGTCAACCTAGCAGTGTGGCGTGGAGTTACTTTGTATTGTTTAATGTCTCGCTTCCTCTTTCGGTCTAGCAAAGCCCGAAAATCAAGGCTTGATTTAGCCAGGGCTTTATCTCCGAACTGCTTTACTACGCAATGGGATATGATGCACCCATATTAGCAATCATTTGCCAGTGGCTCTCCGCAGTAGGATCAACTTGAAAGGTCAAACTCACAATCCGCATCCTCAACCTGGCCTGGTGGAGAAGTGTCAGTCAACTTTCATGTCTCAGCGAAAGAACGAGCCTCAAGGCTGCCAAAGGAAACCCTAGAAGGCGGCTGGCCGAACCCCCATCCCGTCTTCTTATCTATCATGGCATACCAAACCCAAATCATAGGTCCCGTGGTCAGGAGTGGCGAAAGGTGATTCAATCTTGCAAACTGCGGGCGTGAGAACAGGCACTGAGCATCCAATCTTCGAAATACTCTACCAAGGATTAATCTCGTAAAACACGGTAGTCCTAACATATTTTGGCGCGAAATTTTAAGTAAAGAACCGCGTGGGGCTTCTTTTCGGTGCCTAATGACCCAGAAAAGCCACCACGTTCCGGGCGTAAAGCTAATCCGCGAAACTCATCGCTAGGTTTTCAGCTTGCGCCGCATATATGAAGTTGCCCCCCATGGCGCGGTGGTGGGTATGACAAAGATCTGGTAGATCCAGGGTGGTGTAAATAGAATAAGTCATATTACTCGCTTGTGGTACAGAAATCCCATGATGTTTGCAATAGTAAAATTCAGAAATAATGACCGATACCATGATGCTCTAGAAAGTGTTGTTTGGCTCTAGCTATTGTCCATTGATAGTATGACATTCGCATTCGCACCCAAGGGCTTGGATGACTCTAATGCACCTAGTTCATATCCAAGGTTTTGTCTCATGCTAAGTATGATTATTTTTGAAAGTCTTACCAGTTCCAATCTCCGTGTTTGACTTTACTGTATTGAAAATTTGAAAGTTTTCTCAAAGGTTCCGCCCAACACAACCAATAAACATGGACATAACGCCTAACCCGGGCAACACGACAGCTATGCATGCTTTAGAAATTTTCAGTGGCTGAAATTAAAATTCAGCCATTGTTGCCTACAGTACAGGCACGATAGTACAGTAAAGTGCCGAGCGAACAAATTGGGTGACATATAAAGGTAGTTTTCTTTCTCTAGACAACCAGTCACTTATTTTATTTCAATTTTTCCCCATTTCCTTTGCCAGGATCCGAGAACCCAGACTATCAAGCACAATATACACCATGTCGTCTTTCGAGAACCTTCCTCCCGAGGTGTTTGATATCATCCGGGCAGAACTTGAATTGGAGAGTGATATCTATCATCTTTTGTTGACCTGCAAAGAGATGCACAAGGCATGCATCGAAACGCTGTACAGAGTTAACGCATCTAACATTGTCCATCCGCGCTCAAACCAGCCACACAATCAGCGCCCATCCGCGCTAGACTGGGCTATCGAGAACGACATGACCCTGATTGCCCAAAGGGTGATAGAAATGACGCCCGAGGTCTGCAATAGAGGCCACCTTCGCAAGGCTCTAAGAATGAAAGACTCCGACATCGCATATCGTCTCTTGTGTCTTCCTCAAGTGCAAGAGCAATTCCGAGATCATGAAGGGAGAGACAAGGCTCGAGAGTTCACATGGATTGCCATTATACATGGGCATATAATATGCCTTGACATACTCGAAAATCTCTTACCAATCAGCCCCGGAAGCTTTCAATACTTATTTAATTACATCGAGCCTGCGCTCGCCGCCGCATGTCATCACGGGCACGTTGAGCTAGTGAAAAGATTCACTGCGGCAGGATCCAGGCAATGCAAGCACCCGGCGGCGTGGTTGAGGGATTACTGTTTGTTTAACGCTATTCGATATCGGGGAGAGGGGCACGAGAGCAATAGGAATTATGAAATGGCGAAAGTCTTGCTGAACGTATATCCAAAGCTGGCAACAATTACGAGCTTCCTCTTTGCAGCAGCCCAAGAGGGTCATGATTCCATAGCCAAACTTCTTCTAAGTCATCGAGCGCGGCTGCCGTCTAATCAAGATCAACTCTCGTTTCTTCTATTCGAGGCGATCCGCGGGGGGTGTCTGTCATTTGTGCAGACACTTCTCGAGAACGGAGCATCGATAATTCCAGCAACTCGACCAAGGCTCAAATATCCCGGATTTATTCCGCCACAAGACAGACCGCACAAACAACGTCAAAACGCAGGTATCATCGAACAATTACTTGCCGAGCAACAGGAGAGGCTCTCAAACAGCCACGGTGCAGGACAATACGTGCTCAGCGAAGCCATTTCAGCGGATAATATCCCTCTCGTCAGGTATTGTGTTTCTGCCGGCGCGCATATTCATAACGGACATCAAGCACTTCTGTCATACCACATTTCGTCCATCGAAATGTTAGAATGCCTGATTGAAGAGGGCGTAAACATCAACTCGTGGGACGAAGATGGGATTCTCCCAATTCAAAAAACTCTCCCGTTAATTTCCTACCGCATCGACGATCCCCTCCATTTTTTCAACGCTTTTGTCAGCAAAGTAGACGATATTAACGCCACGAATATTCAGGGTGAAACAGTTTTATCTTACTACTGTTCTGTGGTCCCTAGCAGGCGTTCTTATTACGACTCGAAGAATGAATACCAATGTATCAAGGAACGTGTCAAAGTACTGCTTAACAGTGGTGCAAAACTTGATCTGGCATCTAATACTGGAAGATCACCGCTGCATGAAGCCGCGGAGTTCTCTTCCAAGAAAGTTGTATCGCTACTTTTGAAGCGCGGTGCCAACTCCAATGCTCTAGACAATCAAGGGCGCAGTCCTCTCCATTCTGCAATGGCTCATCGATGTCCGGAGATAGTAGTCAAAATGGCTGAAAGACTGTTAAAACATGGCGCTGATCCCAATCATCAGGACCACAAAGGAACTTGCGCGTTGCATATCCCGGCTTCCTGTGTGAATCCTTACTATGCTGAAAAGTTGCTTCATCTTTACCTATCGTCACAGGGAATCAAGGTAGAGGGGGATATAACGAATGATAGCGACAACGAGACGGACTCATCCTCCCCTTCTTCACTCGCATCCGACGAAAATGAAGACAAGACGCAAGATGATGAAGCAGATAAAGCAATTAAATCTCTCACTAATGACTTTTTATGGCGACTGAACGACGAAGGTGCAACTCCTTCTGTTGTTGTGGCTAGGGATTATGAGAACGATGCACAGGACTGCATACAATTCTATCTCACTGACCGTGGCTTCGATGTGCCTGACGCACATGGTATCACCCCACTAGCGGCCGCGTTTCTTTCATGCCGCACCAATCTCGGAGAATGGCTTGTGAGGCGTCACGGAGCAGATTTGAACTGGCTAAATGGCCGTGGTCGGACGGTCTTGGACATACTGTCAGAGCACTCAGCCACCAAGCACGGAACAAGCTTGTCTATGTCCAAATATGTAGCAAGACATCTCGGTGGGTTAACTTCGAGGGAGCTCGCTGATTCTCGTGATAACGAGTACTTACGAGCTCTCCTGAGAGGAGATGGTTCAGAGGAAGCTAAGGAACGGAAGGCAGCGGCCCGTGATGGGCGCTTTTACTACATGAATGCTGTTTTGAACCGGTATGAAGGAACTATTTAGCGAGAGCTTACAGATAGAATTACACGTTTTCCTTTTTATCGTGTCTTTATTTGAAAATCTTTATCTTTTAAAAACGGGCCTTTCCGTGCTTTCATGCTCACGACAGTGGATTTAAGCCATCACTGAGAGAAAGAGAATAAAGTTTAACAGCAATGGAAGCTGCCAGAGCCCGACAACTCAACACAATGAATGATTGCGAAGTTCACAGGATCTAAATAACTATACCATACTTATCCAGCTTGAGGAGCGAGGCTCTGTTCATTAACATAGATGGGGCTGTATTCAGTTCTAAAAAGACAACACTCTATTGGAAGCCTTCGCCTATCTATTTCACTGAGAATCCTCCGTCTATGGGCATGGTCATTCCTGTGACATATGATGACTGCGGTGAAGACAGCCAAAGAGCAGCCTGTGCGACCTCGTGTGGGAGTCCAAATCGGTTGAGGTATGAGATCTGAGGCGCGAACTGTTCCTCTGTTGTGCCAAAAGCCTTGAGAACGTCCTCGATCATAGCAGTCTGAAATACCATTATTAGCTGGCGAAAAGGGTCATCGGCAGAGAGGAGAGTTACTCACGTAGATAGCGCCAGGTGCAAGTGCATTAGCACGGATGCCATGAGGACCGCCCTCTAGACATGCCTGCTTCGTCAGGCCGACAATCGCATGCTTGGTTGATACATAGGCGGGCATGTTCGGCTCCGGCTTGTAGGCAGCGCCGCTGGCCAAGTTGACGATGGTTCCCCCGTTTCCTTGCTTGATAAACTGCTGCATTTCGTATTTGATGCAGAGGGCTGTTCCGGTCAGGTTGATGCCGACAAGTTTGTTGAAGTATGCCACATCCATCTTCTCAAATGGAGTAGAATCGGGCGTCAGAGCAGCATTGTTGATAGCGCAGTCTAATTGTCCAAATTTCTCCACGACGAATGACACCAGCTTAGCAACCTCATCCTCTACTGAGATATCTGCCTTGAAGAAGAGAATTTCTCCCAGGGCTGATAATTCCTTGGCCACTTCTTCACCCTTTTCCTCTTGGATATCACAGATGACAACCTTGGCGCCGGCTTTGAGAAATGCGGATGCTGTGGCCTTTCCAATACCTTGGGCACCACCTGTAATCAGGGCTACCTTTCCTGGCAACACACGGAAAACCTCGAATTCAGGGATCTGGGGAGGCATGGTGACGAGCTTTGGTGCGAGACTGTCAAGTATTCAAAAGATGAAGAATAAGACAAAGGATATGGTATTAGCTCTTTGACTAGATATTTATTGTCAGAATGTAATGTGCATCAGTTGGATGAGGAGAACGGCTTTATATAGGCAGCCATTGTCACAACCCAGGTCTAGCAAGGTGGGGCTACTCTTCTCTACGAATGGAAAAGAGCAGCCAGTAATTGACCGCCTCTTGAATTCTACTCTGAATGGCGTTCTCTGGCAAGGCGAGGATGGACGGATGAACTCCTTAGTGGACCTCACTAGTGGCCGTTTTCTCCAATTTTCCCGCGGAATCATGGTTTCGTTGGACCCCCTGGTTTTATCTACCACCACACTATCTTTACGGCCATACCCTGACCGTTCGCAGAGTGTCCTTACCTAAACCCTCAAAGGCAATGGCAAGTCATTAGTAGGGGAACTAAGAAGTCGGCCGCAAGGATCCGGCTGGCAAGAAGACGGAGAGATCGCTATTTAATTTGTCAAAATCCGTATCGAAAACAGGGATAAAATACGACTTTGTTAAGATGCCCAAACCAGCTTACAAGCATTTAAGGAGACACACTCCACCATCGAGTAACATGCTGGTCACTTGTTGGGTTATGTGTGCACTTGTTATCAAGGAACTACTAAGCCTACTTGAGCAGGTGGCCAGGAAGTTGGGATGCTCTCGTCCCGTCCCAACCTTCAGCGACATAATCACCTCACCTGAGCTCTTGAAGGCGGTGACCACGCTTCATTCAATCACATACACCGCCTCCTAGCGAACCGGAGTAGAACTGGGGATTCCAAGTGTGATCTAGAAGAGGTATTTGACCACTCTGTTACTCCAATCCATTAGATTTTGTCCACCTTTTTCAGCTAATTACGAAACCTCAATCGCAGCAAAACCGTCTCGAATAGCGATATGGGAAGACTCCAAGTCTCTAAAGCCAGTACCCACTGGCTAGTGTTTGGTCCCCTGCTCCTATTGCTCTGCGCGCCTATTATACCCCAGAAACCCTCCGAGTCCCCGCATGCGTGGGAGGCTCCCGAGTGCTAGGTGCATGACCAAGTGGATTTCAATGTCGCTTGCATGCAGATATCTGTCATTCGCGTCTAAGCCTAAGCCAATCATGTCCCCCTGCGATCCGAGGTAGGCTTAGATATGTGCCAACTGCATACCGAATTTCCAACGTCTCTCCTCCGTATTGTTCCCATTTTCTCGACCTCATGCTATGCTATGATTCAGCTTTGGTGTACGGAATCCAATACATTGTTACCGTTGTAGGTGGTATTACTCACCATTTTATCTGCAACATCTTGGAATTTCAAGCGGTCAATATCCTCCAGCCTTTCTCGGAGTCATTCTGTAATTCTTCAGTTCTAACCTAATTCTGTTGCTTAAAAACCCTACTCAAGCAGCTAATGACTTACTTTTACGAACATCGTCAATTAAATATACCAAGAGGCTAACGCATAGAACATATTTGTATCCAATAAGCCCAAAAATCCGGGATTAAACAGGTCATGCCTCAGGAGGCTTTGGAAATAGCTTTTCCGACGCCCGATTCATTGTCAAGCTCTTCACTTGTTAGAAACATTCATCCTCCACTGTTGCTAGAGTAAAAAGCGCCAATCCTTTCGGTGGATTCGAAACTGTGTGTTTTTTCAACGGCCAAGCGGCAAGGGAGAAATGCAGGGGTCGCTCTTTCATTATGCCCTACCATAACTTGGCTGATAAGCCGAGTCAATATATGGATCTGACGTTATTTACCTATAGTTCTTACGGGTGTCAACTACCAAACGTTATCTGAGATTTGGGAAGTGCCTAGCATGCAAACATCATATAGCGACAATTCCTTAACCCTAAGGGCTAGCTCTCATGGTGACAAAAGATTGAAAATGCGCCCAATAATACATGACGGCAATGATCTCTCAAGAAGATATTTATATTAACATGAGAAGATGGAGAACAGTCACTTGCAATACTTCTAAGGGAATCATGAGCTGGGTGCTTTTTCTCACTCCATCCCTAAAATATTGGACAAGATATGTCAAAAACTATAGCTTAAAACCAAACCTCCCGCCTACTTACGTATAATGCTAGGAATAGCATCAAGTTGTCGATTTCTGAGTGTTCGGATATTTCCCGTTTTTTAAAGCAGCTTCCACATAAACTGCAATGCTCTCTCACTCGTGACTATTACCACCGACTTATGTATTTTCGAATATCTAAACTTCGTCGTGCGGTTGGGATTATACGAGAGGTTTTGACAAAGAACGCTACGTATACGTAAGAGAAAGAGAAGAAAGTTCAACAGCAATAGAAGCTTCCAGAGCCCGACAGCTCAGCACAATGAATACGAAAACTTAAGAAAGCCTTTGCTAGCTCAAGGCTGTGGTCGTACGGAAAGAAAAGTCTGCAAACGTTCATGCCGATGACTCACTTGCCGTCAGGATGAGCGGCTTGTCAAATGACTATTAAAGCTACCTTCTTTCACCTGGCTTCCTTCGTACACTCGCCTTCTATCTAATCCAAGCACTTCAATACACCAAGCTCGAGGCTTTTCAGCAACCAACCTAGTGAGTACCACTAGCCCCTTAGCCAGAGCACTTACACTGATACATCCGCAGCCTTCGCTGTTTATCCCGACAATCAGGATCATGCGAGACAACGAGATCTTAGTGCCTTCTCTCAAAGGTAAGAAGATCACCTAGTCTGGTATAATAAAGCCCAAGATCAGTACGAGTAGTCCTAAGCACATTGGTCGTGCAGAGGCTATCTCAATACAGCTACTTGATCAGCTTAATGAGCTTAATGAAGTGGTATTCTTTGAGCACCTCAATTAAGAGCAACGACTGTTGTGATCTGGCCTTGGGCACCAGAAACACCCACCACTTCAACCTCTTGCTGCTCTTCTATGCCAAAATAGCATTTACATCGAGATCTTCCGCGGGCGTACGGCCAAGAATACCACTTCATTAAGCTTATTAAGCTGACCAAGCAGCTGTATTGAGATAGCCTTTGCACGACCTATGTGCTTACGGTTAACATCTTATTGTGTTGATCACACCGTGGGGTAAAACTAATGCCATTCGCGAGATCTTGCTGCATATTCGCTGGATCCTTGCTCACTCATCCCGTTCGAAGTTTATGCCTAAAGAGGCCGGCACAAAACATAGTTCATAAAACAGCACTTAAGATAAAGGCTCCCTGTCCACCTTAGGTTCCTTCAACCTCCCTTTACCTCTATCCACCTTCATCTCTCTCGTTACTTCCTCACCATCATCCCTCTGATAGCCTGGCCTACCCTACACCTATCTCATAGAACAAGGCGGTATAGCGGATTTATGTCACATAAGATAACGCGGCCCTTTCTAGATACTAATTTCCTTTCATTGAATCTGCATAGCGACCCTTTTCTTTGCTGGATGCCATGGCGTTGAATATTATGCATCACCACTCGTATTCACCTATTCACAACGCTGCTTTCAACAACAGGAATTCTAAACTGTATATGGACAAGGTCCAAAAGACCTTTCATACATTCGGAAAGGGTCCCAACTCTCAGGCTACGAGCTATTGTGAAGATAAGCGCCGCAATTGACCCAATATTTGGATCTATGATCGTGTCGACACCGACATGGACCTCGACAACATCAAGGCATCCAGCCCCGGTGTTCTGAATACGTTTAGAGGCAGCAACGATGGTGTGGATCTTGGAACTTTCTGAGGGATGATAAAAATGCAGCCGTGGGCCTGAAATAATGAGAGTTCTTGGTATGAGCATTTTTTCGGATACTGAAACCACCATTTATGTGAGCGCGCGGGTCATCGCGAGTCCCTCCTTGGAGCGGCTGCAAAGAACTTGAAGTGACACACCTTTGAAAATTCAGTATCTGATGATAGAAATTGTCAGACAATCCTTTTGACAATAGCGGTCATTTCCCCTCTTCATCAGAATAGGATTCTTTTGATTTTCACTTTTCTAGAACAAATTGAACTCGTTTGCATCCATTCTTTTTTTACTTCCTCTTCTAGCTTATCACGTATTTGATACTATTCTTAGAGGCCATTTGATTGTCTCCCTCCAGTCTGTGTCCATACTATCGCCAATATCTTTTATCACCCTCTCGCCCCAACCACTCAAGTACCAATGCATATTTCCCGTATGCTGCAAAATGACGCTATAATGTGCGAAAATGGCCAAGGCCATGGGATCAGATTGCTTGAGAAGATCAACGAAGCCCTCAGAAAGGCATATCGGCCAACTAAGCGTGAACCGAAGATCGGGCCAGTGAGTGCTTTCAATCACTCGTTCTGTCCATTCAATTGTAGACTTGACTGCTTCACGGCATAATGCTGAGCTTGGATCGCCCTCAGTAATCAGTGAATCGAGATAACGGAGTTGAATAATGAAAGTCGTCAAGATGGGTGGCGCAGCGGGGTTTTGGTCGCCCTTGTGGAAGAGCATTCCTAATGGCCCGTGATGAAGTGTCTTTGAAAAGGAGTCTAGGATGAAGCTCTTGCCCCGAATGAGTAGCAAGACATCCAGGAAATTCTCGAACGCTGGGCGCCCGTCAGCGACATTCTGCGAGGAATAGCTGGCAAAACCGCAGATGCAGAGAAAGGCGGATGCCGCGAAGACAGCATGGCAGTTTTCGTTGGATATCTGCCCCAGGGCGGACTGGAGGCCGAAAATTGCCTTGTTCTGGTGTATTGACGCACAGATAGCGTAGGTTGAGTCTGGAGACGGGTGTAGGTATGCTAGATGATGGGCGGAAAAAGCTAGAAGTTGATGCATGAGAAACTTGTTTGGCATGGCAAGACGTGCCACGTCTATTTGCCAAACACGCCTGATGTCAGTGGCCCTGGGAAGCGTGAGATATGCTGAGGACGTGTAATGGTGCATGAGCTCGAGATCTTTGATCCACTCGTCCTCGATGGACGTGTCACTGGCGGCAAACTTGGCAAAATAGGGGAAAGCATCAGCGTCCGGAGTGAGTACCCCGGCCACACTGCCCATCTGTATCGGTACGTGGGGACCAGGGTTGGCGTTCGGTTTCGCATTGCCGAGAGACGGGAAGTCTGGAGATCTCGAATTTGAGGCTAAGCCACCCTATTGCGTCATATTAGCAGGGCTGATACGAGAATATCTACTATCTTGATACGCGAAGAGCAGATTGCACCTTTTCAGACCCGCTGGGGTTCAATGATGGGCTCCTTGTTCCTGAATCGCTTGCGTGGCCATCGGGGAATACACATGGCACCCCGTGCCTGGTGCAAGCTGAACACGGGTCTCTTTCGTCACACTGTGATTTAAGCTTAGTATTGCGATAAATCAACCATAAAAACAGTTGAGTGGTTAGTTACCCACCTTGACACGTCTCTGCTTGCATCTCAGGCAGCCACGCTTAGACTTCTTATGACCTAGGCGCGGCATATCTGCACGTGGTTGGGGCCTTGGAGGAGAGCTGGATCGACGATAGAGCGGGCAGGAATAATGGAGCCCTTGCTTCGGCTTCGGATGCGGTGAGGATCAAGAGTGAGTGATGGGTGCCTCTGTGCCCACTGCCACGGAAAGGTTTTAAGCACCTGGGCCGCCCATGCATCGATGGCGTGTGAAGGACGCGTTTGAGCCACCCGTATCAGTGACATGCCGGGATGTGGAGCCGGAGAATGATTCGACGATGGATTCTCAGCTCTCAACGCTGCTCGCCCTGACGAAAATTCATGCTTGGCGCATATTTGACGTCAAATTTTCAATATATCCGAGACTCAAGCCGGTAGAATCAAGCTAAAACAAGTCCAAGGCATACTCGTGGGCTCCAAGTGCCGGCCGGACTCCCTAGGGCTCAGCCTTGTAGTGGGCCATAGTCCGATAGAAAACTTGAAGAACCCAGTAAATCCAGGCGGAGCACTCCAAGGCTGCGTCTGATTGGTGAAAGCTAAGTCTCACATCTTGGCTTAGATCAGGAACCCGAGACCGAGACCGAGACCTTAGAATAGCGCCGACAACAAAACACCATATCAAACTTAACTTAATGCTTGAGATGCAGTTGGACAAGAAAAACATATATAAATGATACATGATTGCAAAATTAGTTAAAAAAAAAAACCGTGACACCAATTCAGTACCCAAAAGCCAGCATTCAACCACATACACCATTTGGATTATAAGCGTTTCCCATTGCCTTCCGAAACACATATTTTCAAAATGATTGGAATCCTCAGCCCTCGTTACAAGCTTGTAATCCATGTGGTTCAAATACTTCTCATCATAATTGTTCTGGTTCTTTCAATTGTTCGCATGTTCAACCAACCAGCCGGAGCCCCACGGTCCAGGGCGAACACGATGTCTTTGGGAATGGTAATTTCGCCCCAATCTACCAAACTATCGCCTCCTATTTAACATATTTTTTTCCCAGAGCGCCAAATCACTTGTCCTTATCCTCTACCAACTTTTGACTGAGCATGTTCGCGCCCTTAAAAAATGGTCAAGCTTGAAGGTGTATGCTATTCTCAACGCTTTGGAGATCGTCTTCTGGCTCGCGGTCGTTTTCCTCTTAATCCAAGCCAACATCAACTTTTGCGCCGCACTCAGTTGCACGCTCAGTTGGATAATTGTATCCCTGGGCATTGTAATGAGGTATGAGGAGCTTAGATTTCAGGCCGTATATCACAGCTAACGCGTTTCCCAGCCTTCTCGCGGTCTACATGACCATCGTCACCTTCCTGGACTTCCGGAACTCGCGTTCTCGAAGAAATCCAACTAGCTGTGATATGGATGACAGCACAGAAGTGCAGTCTGTCAAGAGCTATAGCCCACCAAGCAATACCCCCGGGGCTTCGAAGGCCTGAGATGGCTATACAGTCTCGAGAAAAATACTTGGTCAACTGATGCGACGACCATATATCTCGCATTACGAAATTGAAATTCACTTTTCTTGAGGGGCAATTCCTATAGAACAAAACTTGTTCGATGCTCAACAGATGGGTGCAATTTTGCACATCCACGGTTGCAGGATAGGTGATGAATGAATGAATCCTTCGCTGGTGCCCTTATCTGCGCCATTTCATATGTTTTTAGAATAGTGATAGAGATAATATACACACTTTTAGCGAGATTTCATCTCCTCTAGGCTCGACATCATAGAAAGGGTCTATCCACTTGATTAATCGCCTGAGAAGGCTTGGGTCCGTTCTTACGGTGAAGAGATGGTGGCATCAATAGGCGATCTAGTGCAAACTTGAAGACTTAACGGTAGGGCGAGCACCTGATTGAACTATACATAAAATTATTTAAAGGGCAGGTTGGTATAACTCAGAGTCTTCGTTCCATCTGGCCCAACTATTGGTAAGCACATAATTAACAAACAAAACAAACTCTGAGTTTCGAGTGACAGCTTTTAGATACAGTTTCAGTATGAGAAATTAATCTGGATCTCCCGGATCACATGTGGCTTGTTTTGCAAGCGGACCAAATCGAACTTTGCTGATCACTTTGTTCTAGTATCGACTTGATGCATTTGGTACTCGTTTTCTCCCCCAAGCTCGGATTTCGCTCGTTGTCTTTGCTAGCCGCAGTTTCTTTTGCCTCTCCTTCCTCAATGATAGCTTTTTCTCGGCTTCTAGTGCCAGCCGCCGCATTTCACGATCCGATTGAGCTTTTTGTTGGTTTGTGGTTTCGCCCTCGATTTTCGTTTCACGAGATGACCTGCGGGCTTCCTTAAATTTCTTCTTCAAATCCTTCCGAGAAGCTTCTGTCAATTCCTCACGCTTCTTTCGCTCCTGGAACAATTTGTATCGGGAACTGGCCCGGCTGGCCCTTGAAGAATAAGGCACCCCGTAGAATTTGACCAGAGCTCTCTGCCCTGAAGGCAGTGTGATACGGCGCGTGTCGCTGGTGTGGTTCAAACCTTCAACAAGCTTGAAATTCAGCCAGTACTGGTGAAGGGTGGCTGTCGTTAAGCCGAAGAACCTAAGCTTTATTGCCCTGTCGACTTGAATTTGGAAATTAGAAAGATCATGCCAAAGGTCATCGACTCCATCGGGAATCCAGAGACCGTTTTCCTTGTTAGATAGGTGAATTTGACCCGAAAACTTTGCGTAGACGACCTGGGGAGCCATTTCATCCATCCAAGGCGATGGATAACTGTTTGAATACAGTTTTGAGCTACGCGCTAGAAGAAAGTTGAGGTGAAGACGTGAAAGATTTGGCACATTCTCGTTGAAACGGTTGAGATAGTCGGCTACTTCCAGGACACGGGTGGACTCGATGTACGCCGCGGGAATGTCAAGCTTCTCCAGCCCTCGACATTTCAGGAGCGTTTCCCAGAACGATCTCCTGTAGCGGAAGCGCGCCCTCGGTGCTCGGATGTGTTCTGAATCGCCGGTGTGATCGGGATTCATGATGCTAATATCTCGAATCTGATCCCGAAGCTCTGGGCGGAGAGAGTGGCCCACAAGAGCGAGAAACTCAACCGCATCCAGGAAGCAGAAGGTATTTTGCGACCAGAAAATGGGAGAACAAATTTTGTTCAGAGATTTAGAAACCCTCAAGAGCGAGAGACCTTGTCGCTTGGCACAGGAGCATGGCGTTTCTGTCTTGGTCCTCCATGGAGACTCGCTCACGGTGATTTTAGACTGTGCAAATGGAGGTGGCTCGAAACCCTGGGCGCTTCCGGGCCTGTATTTACATTCGAACTTGTGCTTCTTGTCCCATCTTGGGACTTCTACCAGAGTGAACTCATAAATAAGCAACCTGACCTCTGGCGGGAGAAAGTCAAGTCCGGGGTTATTATTCGATGGCAGGGTTGATGCTCGGCCAAGGTCGTTGAATGAGATGGAAATAGTGGCTGCCATGGGAGCAATATGTTGCGCACGGCTCGTGATTGGCTATTCGATTAATAATAAATGTACAAAACAAAGGGTGTTTTACACGCTACAAATCCAGAGGTATTATTATACGTTGACAAAATGAGCATTGTTTTGATGAGCGCCGCCGGTTATTTGCCCGGCCCATGTGTGAGTCAGACCGATCAGTCATAGTTCGTCATCCATGAATAAACGCCTGATACGAGACGCTAAGTCAAAAATGGCTTCTACCCAACAAAGCTACAGTGCCTCATACATGTACAGATGCATTATCATGTAGCTCATCTAATCGAGAATTCCGTAATGCTTGAATAATGGTCACCTTGTTACCCACATCGAGCGATTAACGGAGCGAGCCATGATATAGTGCTAATTATAGATATCACAGAAGGCCCATGTAAGTTCCACACTGTCGCAAACAATGTTCTACAATTGTGTGGAACTTTGCATGCCAGGCGGGATGAATCTGGAAATAACGATGTGTATTCTGTCTATTTAATACACTGGACTGTAAAACACAACTACTCGTGTGGACATCAACCTGTAGTGGCCAAGTTGGAGCTTTCGCGCCACTCTACGATCTTGAGACTGCAGTCTTCCTGTTCCTCGATCACCCCAAAGGAGCCTTGCGAGGCATTGTAGACGTTATTTACTTCGCCACCAATATAGCCACCCTCCCAGCCGGTGAGATACACATTGCCGCCACGGTTGGTCGCATGGGGAACCCCAATAGCAGAGAAACAGCCATGGGTCTGGAGGCTGTTAGTAGGAACTTCCGGAAAGTAATGTATTACTTTCTCCAGAGGTAAACGTACAAAAGTGCCAGCGTACCGCTCCACGATTCTGGGGTGAAAGGCTCCAAATGCTCCCCTGAGAGTATCGAAGCTGTGTTTTGTTGCGTTGAAGGTGGCGACTAGGCTGGTAGAGAATGCTCTGTCAAATCCCTCTGACCAGTCATCCTCGATGGGAATAAACTCATGGACAGAGTTCTTAATCCATGCGATTAGCTCATCGCCGGCAGCAACTCCGTCGGGGTTGCGAGGCTCGCAGTTAGCCGCAACTGCTGAGCCTGTAAGAGCGGCGAAGGCTGCAAAGGCAATTGGTCGAAGCAAGCGCATTTTGCAGATAGAGATGAAAGTCTTTGGGGAGTCTCGGGGCGCTTCTGGAAAGGAATGAATCATCGGAGCTAATCATCCTCTATAAATGTGTTAGTTTCTGCTCGACTCGGGGCAACGTCGGTGAGCTAGATTGTGCCAAAACGCAGCATGATTGGCACAGTTCCGATTTTCGAACACCCTTGCCCAACCCGAAACTAGGGAGGCAATCCTTCGGTCTGGTTTCGGTCTGCGATGCGGCAATGTAGATGCATGTCCGGCACTTCAACACAGTTTCTATATGCAGGAAACAAGGTAGTGCGGATAGCGAAATATGAAGGCTCTAAGAAGACCGTTAGAAAGTACGAGTAAGGTAACGATCGTTGTCAAAACTTGAAACTTGTGATGAAGACTTGAAAGTAGCTGGGCCTTCGATGACCAATACCCATAGTCCTGGTCGGTTCTCACCCAATCGCAATCACGGAAGAGCTCGGTGACCGCCATGACATGACGTTTCGCACTTAGAGTGAGCATGTTATAACTCCACCATAATCGCCAATTAATTTTACCGCATCCATCTGGATCCATTGATTCCGAGCATACACCGCTCACAAGCTTGGCACGAAGAAAACGATGGCGGTGAGAGAACCCCTTCACGCCTCGTAGTTGAAACCATCAAGCGAAGATCCGAGCACTACAATGTGAATTGTCGGGCTATAAGACCTAGCTTACTTAGTATATCTAGAGTGGTGCAGGTAACAACATGCGTCTTATTAATATGAATTACAGGCCTACTACCTTTGGCACACACTGTCTATCGTGTGATGATTCACAGCGATTTAGGATATGTCACGACCGGTCCGAACTGAACTGTACTCAATAATTCATTAACGTCGCCTGTTGTACCTGTAGAACCACATTTAATTGCTCCCTGGGATAGATACACCGGAGAAGATTGACCTAATACGGCGCAGCAGAGAATTTCTCGGCCTATCCAGGTTGTCCTGTGTGGGGATATTCAACTGTGCCGCCGTCGGAAGCTCTCTTTCACGTACTTCAAATCCTGCCGCTGCCACCGTTTCTCTCGTTGCTGAACTTTCTGTCTGCTTCTCTTGGTCCTTTTCTTCGGGTATAAAAGCCTTTGATACCTCCAGGTGCTCTGTCAACTCTCTAGCAAACTGCTCCCGCTTGTTTATTCGACGCGATATTTTGAGCTGCCGGTGGGCCTCAAGGCGTTGCAGATTATCCGCTTCACACGTTCTGTCCCGTACGGCAGCAATATGCTCTCGTAATCTGAGTGCCTTTTCCCCATAGCCGTTGGATTGGTATAATATGGCAAGCATGCGCTGCGCCTCCAAAGTCCGCCCGTCCTCCTCTCCCGACATCATCTCCCACGCCAATACGAGGCGTTCTCGCAGCTCGATAGCCTCTCCGTCGCGCCCTTCATCCTCATAGACCATTGCGGTTTGCCTTTGCTCTTCCAATACCTCCTTCATCGCAGATCTGGCTGCTCTCTTGCTCTTCAAATCAGCCCGAGAAAGTGGGGAGGCAGAGGAACTAATGTTTTCCAAAGTCGTCGTCAAATCCCCTAGTGAGGTTTGGCTTTGTGTCGAGTTACGCCTTGAGCCTGCGGAAAAGAGTGTTGAGCCATCAATACTCCCCCGGCGATGGTCCCTAAGTGTGGCACCGTCATCTGACAGGGCATCGTCGGGTTGGTTAATAGGCGCATTCGCCGCATGGATATTTTGGTATTCTCTTAAAGTCACTGAGTCCATTTCAGACAGAGTCGGATCTGCAATTTTCTAAGAGATCACTTCTATGCGAGGAATTTTATTTTAGTCAATGGTATTTTTCAGTGCGGGTGAGGCTAATGGGTGTCCTCTTATATTGTCGATGGGGCTGACAACAAGGCTGACCAGCTGAGCCACGCGGTAGGCTAACCACGTTTCGATATCCAACCTTGGCGCCTCAGCCGCACGGGGTGCATGGGCAAGGCTGCTTGCGTGGGCTATATTTATATCTTGTTGAACGTCAAATAAATGATCAGGGAGAAACATAAAGTCTTTCGGTTGGAGACTCGTGAAAAAGTCTTCTGGCGCCCTGTTCCTATACAGTAACAAACAATTCTCCATGAATTTACCATGGAACCCGTTAAGAACGCAATAGTCTAACAAGTATACACAGATTATCCTAGCTTTTTATCAATCTAAGTTTGGCTGGGAAGCCAATTCAGAGCCCCAACTGAACTCCCAAACTGTCGATATAGACGGTAGCCTGAGATTAGATGGTTGTCCAATATTAATATCAAATGATAAATTGATCTTGGCCAAGGTTTAAAGTTTAAAGCGACCATTATTCCCCAAACAAAAGCACCAGCTTGAAAACAAGGATTCACAAAGTCCAAATGTATGTTGATACCACCATGTGTGGGCGGTAGATTTCTAGGAGCCGATAGCAGTCTGAGAGGAAGCCAGCAAACAGGCATCGGGACTCACGGGAAGGGACACATCATACTTGGAGAGATCGGGTTGGGAATTTGTCAGCGGGTTTATTGTATCAGATATCATAACCCAAAAACCTTCTCGAAAGGGCAGGTGCCTTCTAACTCTTGCGGAGTGACAGCGAGACCGCGCAGAAAAACGAGGTGTGTCTAGGGGTAATAGTCCGTCATGCGAAGCCAGGTTCCTTGCGGCAAGGTGATATATCTAATTACGTTTGAAATACCTGGAAAGGAAAGGTTTAAAACGGGATAGTGGATGTAGTGGTTAGCCGAGGGGTGATCGCGATTCGCCACCTATTCGGCAACCAGTAGAACAGATGGTGTCAACGCCGACAGATAATACTTCTGATTAACCAAAGGGACAGGGTAAACTGTTTCGTAAGAATAAAGTTCTGTTGAACTTCACCAAAAGTTTGAATTAATTTTCTACCGCGCTGGTTTCGATACTTATTGTATTATTCGTCAGTCCGCTGTCCAACTGAACCAGTTGCTGACTCCAACATGCTATGCTTACTTTTTTTCTCCATTCCTAACCCCTGAATTTCCTTACGCTCCTACCTATCATCTACGGCATAGGTGCTCTCTTGGCATACATATTCCGGGGTGAGAGCATTCAAGGATCGCCCGTTAACTCCGCAAAAAGCAGCTCCAGGGACCATCCAGCCACATGAGACAGCGAGGGATTTTCGCCATGGCGGCGTCTCCCGTCTTTCCGCTGTGATGATACCTCCCTATAATGGATTTGGAATCACACGACATTTATTGTTATTACATGTCCTTGAAAGAGCGAGATAAATTCCAGATACTGTCTGGGGGACCGCGCCGATGCCCCGACCAATATATGCATCAAAGTCGCTTCCGGCGGAGAATATAGATCCGTATCCTAGAAACTGTGAGACATCTAACCATCCTCTAGTTCTACTATTTAGGCATGGTTCTATTGATTAAACAAGGTGAGCTCTCTCCGTAGACATCAGACTATCGATGGCTATGTCTAGAACGTCGTCCTCGATCTTGAGCTATAGAGTATCCGCATGACCTGACCCGTAGAAAAAGAACATGCACCAAATAATCATGATCTACGACGAAAACGATTAGGTTTGATACTACACTAGATTCGTGTGTAGAGCTGTATTATGTCGATTGGCAGATCATCGAACATGAGCTAGAGGTCTGAGCACATGTGAGCTGTACTGGACCTGAGGTGCAGGAAAAATCCAACCTCATGGGGAGGAAGAACAGGTAGTACCTCACAGTCAGCAGATTTATGTCAAATATTATGGCTGTTGGACGGCGGGATATGATGAATGAGCTGGACCTAGACCCGATGATGAAATTAATCTCAGGATGATATCGAACGTAGTGCGTAAGAGAAAGAGAATAAAGTTCAACAGCAATGGGAGCTGCCGGAGCCCGACAACTCAATATGTTCGAACGTAGTAGTATTTTCTTTTTGTAAAATTGAGGGCTCGACTGCTAGTTTTGAATATAGAACCTCTCATACCGTAGGTAGGACAACGACACTCGAAAAACAGTTGAGAATATCAACAAGTGTCAAAGATGAAACCACACCTAAACTAAGAACTAGAGATATCCACCAGATCTGATTTCACGAATCGTTCAACCTAGAAGCGCTTGTTAGCAATTTATCTTGCAACTCAAGGAGAGTGAGAGGTACTTCAAGGGGAATATCGTAAGCTGTCAGCCACTTCATAAACTGAGGCGAATTACTGTCCGCGGTCATGTCCATTTCGATCTTGTCCCACTCGATTGGGGGCATTTGTCCCATCTTTCTGAGGGCGGCATCTCGTCCCTCCTGTGCAGGGCCATCGGGCAGGGTGCGGCCTTTTATGTTATTCTGGCTCAAATTTGCAACCTTCTCGACTCTTGGGCGTCTCAGCTTCTCAAAACCTTCAGTCAAAGCAGGCACATCACCTCCGTGGTCTGGACGAGCTAGCCGAAGAAGGTGGGTTAGAACGCCAGTGCTTTCGATGCCTTGGCTCACGCCCTGACCGGCATGGGGCAGCATGGCATGCGCCGCGTCGCCGATGAGTAGCACCCTCCCGTTTGAACTCCGCCACGAAGGCGTCTCTGGTGCTGTCCCGATGCGCCAGACGTTGCAGCTTTTGACATGCTCTAAATATGCGCGGTCTCGAGCCGAGAAGTCGTTGAAGAGTTCGCGCAGTTCCGATGGCTCTGCTGGGTTGTACCAGCTTGCGTTTCTATCAGTTGGTGGCGCACCATAGTTCGTCACAACGTTGTACGCCGCAGTTTTCCCCTCGGCCACTGGTTCTATCAACAAGACATTGACCCTGCCTGGTCCAAAGGTGAAGTGGCAGCTTCCAGGATGCTCGAACATCCCAGTCAGACGAGTATCGGCACGCAGCTCATCCAAGGCAACATCCGAGTGGAAGATGACCTCATTTGATGGTATTGCGTCCATGTCAAGGTCTGGAAATAGCAGCCTTCGAATCTTGGACTTGATACCATCGGCGCCGACAATCAGATCAGCACTATACTCCCCTCCATCCTCCGTCCGCACAGTTGGAGTGGTCTCGTTCTCGAGGCTTGCCACCGTCTTTCCGAACAAGACTGTTGCGCCCGCAGCCACAGCGCCCTCATAGCCGACATTTTGTACGGTTTGTCGATCGGTACTGAGCGGTGTGTGGTTGGGGCGATGCGGGCTCAACAGCAGTGGCTCGCTGGTGTCCTTATAGGACCAAATGATGGACGGGCCGGCTACCCCTATAGACTGAACGGCGTCGCCCAATCCGAAGCTCTCCAGTACTCGAATGGCAGGAGGTTGGACATAGATGGGCCCTCCAGTAACTTGCAATGAGGCCTGTCGCTCCAGCACAGTGACGGAATGGCCATCCTTTGCAAGTCCTGTTGCCAGAGCAAGGCCGACAGGGCCAGCGCCGACGATGATGATACGGAGGGCAGTCTTTGCCGCCATTTTAAACGTAGGCGATTGTACGAGATATGGGAAAACGGGTGGTGATATGTTCAATGTTTGAATGATCAACTCGGGGCTGCCTTGCTCGCGCTATTTATCCTTCGCTCAGTGGGATATGAAACATGGTTCTAAGCTTGGTGGACTCGTAGACTCGGAGAATGGCGGGTCTCCAAGGATCACATCCTTGGAAAGCGGGCGACTAAGGATGGTGCCCTGGCCTGGCAGTTTCGTCATGAGCCTAAAGCAACTGGCAACGGAACGATATATGTGTATGTACAAAGTGATCGACATATGAAATGGTATGCTTCAGTCATAGTGAGACTATGAAACGGTTACGATCTCCTGGGAAACTAAGCTTTGATTACTTGTTCTAAGCTTCTATCATCTCAGGTAGAGAACGAATTTTTGAACTATAAATGAAGATCATTATTGAACAGTCTCAAGAAATGGTGGCTACATATGACTCGCAGGTGTAGCTGAAGTATATTCTCGGCAGAATTCCATCACAAGTTTGGCAATCCAATGCATCTATGAGCTTCCACCAAGCAGAGAGCGATTGGATTTTGATCTTGTTCATTGTATTCTCCGCACCTAATATCAACATCGGCTGTCTTTTCATGTGTACTGAATACGTAATTGACAGGAGGTAGCCACCACTTTCACCGTATTTGCTCTTTTTACCGATATTTGGCATCAGAACAGTCATAGACACGTCCCAATTTAATAGAGGCCGTTTACTATGCTTCAATTGTTCTACCACTGAGTGTGCTAAAACATAATCCTCCATACGCCGCTCGACTCTAGTAAAGCCAACTGCCGATGTCAATTTCTACCCAATGTGGCAATGACTTGAGCAAACCCTGCAGATTATCGGCTTCTGGTTTATCGCCATCTGCCGGGAATTGCCGTTGTAACTGAAGCGGTATTGCCATTGTGGATCTAGCAGTGATATGATCCCTGGCCTACTTCATTCATCCGCCGTTTGGAGCGGCTCACCGACACAAGCTGACCACGCTCAGCAGCGGCGGCAATAATCGACCCATTAACACTTCTTTAACCGCTAGATCCTTCCATTTTCAGCAAAACGATGTTTCATATTTCCGGAAAGGATTTCGCTCATGGTTCACCCAAAGCATGAAGCATCGGAGGATAGTTCCTAAAGAGGCACGAATATGAACTTGCTGCAAGATTCAGGAGTTGCGGAACACAGTCGCAACAAATCGATTGCTAGCGCATAAAAAAGTGTGTTTAGGGGCACACAATTTCACAGGTCAACTGCCAGGACTAGATTAGTTGGATCATGGGTGCATGAAGAACTTGTGAGCCAGAGGGGTGGTGACAGAATCCCTGCCAGCAGTCAGCATAAAAGTAAGCGGAACTCAACTCTGTATCCCTGCGGGCAGTCAGCGCAACTGGGTCTCAAAGTAAGCAAACGCTTCGTGATCCCTGCAATTAGTTTACAGAGTGGGAGACGGCCAGGAGATCCAGGTATTTATTAGTTTTCTGCTGTGGATGTCATATGACGTCTGCGCGGTGCCGAGGAGCCATACGGTGACGCGTGGCATTATCCTCCATGGCGCCAAAGTAAACTACATGAAGAGGGGGATGACAAGATAACAGAGAAAATTGTGTACCATGTCTTAGGCTTGAAGTCACGGATAATCGGAACTCGATGAAGAGGGGTAAATATGGGACTGTTAGGAACGTAGGATGTTTAAAAGGGCATAAAGGGAATATTATTTGCTCCTGGTTCTATGATGCCTCATCAATGAATTATTGATTAATCGTTTGAAAATCAAGATGTTTTACAAGACAGAAGAAAACAATCACGGCCTTCCTTATGATCCTTTCAAGGTTGGCATTAAAATTTCTTGAGATGGATGAATAATTTTCATCAGCTGACACTGCAAACAGGCCTGTGTTGTCCCTCGGCCTATAGGATGGATCTCAACAGTATCTGCAGATGGAAAAGATAATCTTGCACCCTTCAGCCAATTCACCAACGTCACTTACGATCCACCAATGGTGATTTTCAGTGCCAATAATGCTTTGGGGGGTGGAAGAAAAGATACAGTGAGCAACATCCAGGCAACCAAAGTTTTCTGCTGGCAGGTCGCGACCTATGATTTGCGTGAAGAAGTCAATAAGACAGCCGAGATGCTTGCCCCTGAGGTGGACGAGTTTGAAAAGGCTGGACTGCAGAAGACATGGTCGCAAAGCCTCAAAACTCCGGTTCCCATGGTGGCTGCCTCGCCGGTGCGGTTCGAATGCGAATACGTCCAAACAATTCAAATCCCCGGAAACCCGCCGTTTGGTACCGTTGACCTCGTCATAGGACGTGTTGTGGGCGTTCACATCGATGAATCTGTGTTGACGGATGGGAAAGTCGACGTAGCAAAGACGAACCCTATTTCTCGGCTTGGCTATTACGAGTATGGCGTAATTGGCAAAACATTCGAAATGGTAATTCCTGGTGATAAGACAATCCTAGCTGGGGTGAGTAACTTTAATAACTATACAATGTATTATGAGGAAAACGTCTGACAATCGACCTAGCTTGAGGGAAGCCCTGTGAAGAGCCGAGATGCCGTTAGTGCTAAAACCGACGAGAAAAAGGAGAGAGATACCGCTAAAGATGTAGGGAACTAAGATGAGATACATATGAGTTCAGCAAGGGACTCTCTGTGTCTACTTCTATACTATGCTCGAATAAAAACCAATATCCGCTGAATAACTGTTTTGATCACGTAACTCCAATGAACTCGGTTTTCAAGGTTGACATTTTGCACGATCCGGCAGTGGTCGTGAAGTCGCATTTCCAAAGGCCTATATCATCCTAGTAAATTCCGAGACTAACTTTAAGGCAAGAGCCTAGTCCGGAATGGTAGCTCATAACACAATCGTCTTGAGTTGCTGGCTAATCTACTTGGTCGGCATATGCTAAACCCAAACATATTCATGGAGTAGCATATGTGTGCCACAATCAGTCTAAGAGGGAAACCCAAACTTGAACTTATTTGAACATTTTTTCAAGATGCCTTATTAATTAGCAGACAGCTTTTCATATTCGCCCTTTTCAATCAATAGCAGCAGGCTCAATATTTAACAATCACCCAACCCTGTCGATAGGTTCAAGTCATAAGACCGCTCCACATCATATGATCAAATTACAACTAGGAACATACGTTATTATGTTTATCAATATTCATTAGTTGAGGAGTTGCATTGCCTAGTCCAAGCAAGAGAGCAGGAATTTGTGTCTGCGAGGCTGCAATGAGAAATTTACGGTGTACTCGAGATTGAGGCAACGGGTGATCCGATGCACGCCAATGAAATGATATCCCAACGCCGGGAGCACTACAGGACCAATTGGAAGTCATGTCAACAAGGAGATGATGGCGCAGCGTCGACGGCGGCTAGATTACCAAACTATTCCTTCTAATCCCAGGTTGACCCCTGACAATCTAATGAGACTACATCTGGACTCTCCTCTCCACTGAGTCCAGATGACGGTTTTACCGGCTATCAAGCTTCTGGGATTTATAAACACATTAACGGCCTCTTTCTGTAACTCTACTTGTGTGGCCTCTAGCTTTCCTTTAATTAATTCGGGAATAAAAGTGAAATCAAACTTACTAGTTTGATGAACAAGATACATAATTTCAGGGGCGGATCCAGTATATTCGTTGCGATGGATAGTTCGGATAGTTCTGGTAAACCTACTAGAGGGGTTAGTAATTGATTCGCCGTTGGAATTAACTCGCCGTGATTGAGATTTATTGTTACTTCGCTATGGATTAGTTGGCCAAGGTTAAGATATCGAGTATATCATCTCATGGTAGTGATTCAGCCTCTTTAGGCAGAGCTGGACTGACTTGCTGTCCCATTGGACGGGTAGCAGCTACATAGACATATATATATCAGCAGTCTAAACGGTCATTGGGCAAAGTACGTGGTTAAAGCCTAGAGATATAGCATCGATGTGAGCAAGAGAGTCCTGAAGCCTCCCTCTTGGGGGACTTATATGAGTAGATGGGGCTCTAGTAACTGCAAGCTCTAGCCTATAAGGGACATTAGTCGAGGTATCATAAAATCAAAGGATGAGGACTACATTCGTCCTGTAATTTGAGGGCCGTTTTGCGTCAGGCAACGAGACTTCGTGGGTCAAGCGTTCCATTGCATTATTGCAGAGAACTTTCAAGTGATTTCATTGTGTACGCATGTGTAATAGTGAGACAGGCAAGACGACTGAAAATATCCTCAAAAGCAAGCACTTGGACGGAAGTTTGTATAGAACTTGGCTTTGGTGTAGGTTAGTGACTGTTCTTTGTGGTCACGCGACCTGGACGGATGGGCGAGCGAACGGTGGGCCTCTGAAAACTAATCTGAAACTGGAAGCCGGAGGGATAGAAAGTTGAGCAGTGGATGCTGCCGGGGGAGATGAGAGAATGGTTGCTGCCTGCCCGTCGAGAGCATGGCCACCCCTGCTAAGCTCACCTTCGAGGCCACCCTTAGTCTTTCTTCCAGGCTCTATTTCAGGCCATAATCCCCACCTAACAGTTCATCTTTGGCAGGAGGTTCATCCATAATGCCGCGAGTCATGGCTCAATCCGGTATCACACGCACCAAATGCCGTACTAAGGGTCAAGGGCTACGGCCTGTGTTCCATTACCTCCCTATCAATAGCCACAATACCAGCTGATACCTTGGCGTAGAGGGGCTTCACGCTGCTATTTCCAGCCAATTTAACGCACAAGCGATCATGAGGACCTCAATCCTATGGTTGGCTACTTTGCGATTTCTGGGCGCAAATTTAAGTACTTCCTCTTAGTATTTCAATTTCCGTAGGACTTATTGATTTCCTCCACTCGTCTTCTATTTCTATTCTCTTCTATCTCGTTTCTTTTTCTTTTCTTTTGTGTTTTGCTGCTCCGTTTCACAACTCACCCCTGATTCCTGTTGCCCGCTGGCGGTCGACTTGCATCATGAGACGGTGTATTCCTTTCCTTCTCTTCGCCTTTTCGTCGGCCCAAATAGAAGAGCCTTACAATTTGGGCCAACGTGGCCTAGATTATGTCCCGGAATTGGCCTCGAGGGGTGAGGTGGAATATGAAGGTGTCTTTGAAAGGCAGCCCAAGCCATTGCTATCCAGGCACAATGTCGAAACGATATTAGCCCTGCGCGCTGCGGCTAAAGCTTCTTCCTCCAAGAAGGTTAATGTTCAATCCAAGCCTGGTATTAAGAAAGCTGCTACCCCCAAGAAGGCCGCTACCCCCAAGAAAGCCGCTCCTCCCAAGAAGGCTTCTGCGCCCAAGAAGGCTGCGCCCAAGAAAGTTGCTCCTAAGAAGACTACTCCCAAGAAAGCTTCTGTTCCCAAGAAAGCTGCTCCGAAAAAAGTTGCTGCCAAGAAGGTTGCTTCCAAGCCTAACGCTGGTGCTAAGAAAGTTGCTCCCAAGAAGACTGCTGCTCCCAAGAAAGCTGCTACTCCCAAGAAAGCTACTACTCCCAAGAAAGCTTCTGTTCCAAAGAAGGCTGCCCCGAAGAAAGTTACTGCTAAGAAAGCTGCTCCCAAGAAGCCTTCTCCCAAAAAGGCTGCATCTAAACCCAAGGCCGGTGTTAAGAAGGCTTCTACCCCAAAGAAACCTGCCTCTCCGAAGAAGAAGAGCGCCGCGGCTAAAAAGCCTGCTTCGAAAACAACAGCTCGCAAGGGGAATGTTGGAACCAAGCAACTCCAAGGAAAGCAAGATAAATGCACTGCTAAGCGAGGTCTCTTTTCGGGAGGGAAATCGTGCAAAAAGCCAACACCTACGAAGAAAGCTGCCAATCCCCGGAAACCTGGCCCGACCTCAAAGCCTGCGGCCCCGAAACCTACTGTTGGCCCAGCAGCGCCTGTTGCCCAAGGAGGCGCGCCGCCCAACAACAGACCTGTGGGTTTAAGAAAGCCTGGTCAAAGGTTGCCCGCCGGTCAAAGGCAACCCGCCGGTCAAAGGCAACCCGCAGGGCAAAGGCAACCCGCAGGGCAAAGGCAACCTGCTGGTCAAGAGAAGCCTACTGGCAAAAGAAAGGCCACTCATGCTCCGAAGCCAAAGGCCCCCAACGTCCATAAAGACCCCGGTGCCAGAAAACTCGAGCAACTGGCCCAACAAAGTGGAGCCAAGCTCGAGCCGGGCCATTCATACGCGATCAAACAAAAGAGCACTGGACTCTTTGGACATCAGAATGTTGCAGTTGTTGACTACTCGAAGAAGAATATCGGCAACATTGAACATTACAAGGCTTCGGGTAAGAGGTTCGACCTCCATATTGGCTCGAAAAAAGGGGACTCCAAGGCCAAAACAACAGACCCCAACCTAGTGGACGGCGTGATGGGCACAAAACCCGGGTTGCCACCGATCTATTCCAAGAAAGGTGCTTACGTTGAGGCCCATAACTGGAATCCGCACCACGCGGCCTATCAGTCGGGTAGCGAATTCCTAGGCGAGGTTCATGGCCAGTACAAGAACCCCGACAATGTCCTGAAAGAAGCCGGTAAAATTTTGACTGGTGATCCTAACCGTCAAAGTGGCGGCAGGTATAATATTCTTAGCGGTTGCGTCAAGTCGCGTGGGAACAACTGCCGAACCATGTCCGATAAACTTGGCGACAACATCACAAAGAAGCCTTAACGAGCCCAATTCAGCTTTGAGAAACAGGGCAACATATCTATTTCGTGTATATAATAGACGAGTTACAGAATATATGGTTCATTCAGCTGCTATGATCTCTTAATTAATAAACCAGTTAGCCTTGATAGAGGCAGGCCTCGCAAACACCTCACCTCTGTACCATGAAACAGTAAATGATTATTAAGTTCCCAAGACTTTTTTAATCATCTCTATTACTAGATATTCCTAATTTCCCTTGCATAGAATAACCAGGGTTTTTCTTATCCAATATGGTTAAGCCAAAAGTGTTGGAATAGAAGAAGTCCTATACAAAAGAAGTAACGAAAGTGTAGCCCTCAGTATAAGCAGACAGGGTGAAACGATTAAATAAATTAAGCCTTTTCTAATCATTGGGGAAATAAGTAATAGCATACAAAGCCATTTATTTTAGTTAACGGATGTCCCCATGTTGTTGTTTTTAATGGTCTTGTTCAATGTACATAAACAGGAGGCATTGAAACAAGGTGACTTGTATGTAGAATGATGCGCATACGTGTCTGCCAATGAAGTTGTAGTATCTTTTCTACTCAAGAGATATGTAGGGTAACTCCTCACTAAGCAAAACACTATCCCCCATCAGATGATTCGAACAAGCCCCAACAATAAAAGCAGTTAGATACACGGATATACCTTGCGTCGTTTCCATTGACTTTTATTTTCTCTAGCAGTGGCGTGATTTATGCTCAAAATCCTAAGCCACACGCCAACACCCACTGCGCGTAGCGTGATCTCTACATGTTGCCGAGCTAGAAGCCTGGACAGAAAGGATACTCACTTCAAGCAGCTCGTCTATCCGCTCCGCTAAACCGGTAAGCAACTGAGCTAAGGTCAATCAACGGGTCGTCAGAAGGCTCGATGCCTTCAACCTTCGGGACAGGATCAAAAAACTCCAGGTTCTTCTGTTCCTCATCGCTGTCCGCCAGGATGGACTCGAGACTCACTACCCCCAACTTTACTAACTCACGTGTCTCCGGCCACTGCACCGTGCAGTCGTCAGTCACATCGCCAGCCTCGGCAATCTGAGCCAAGAGGTCATACTCGATCGGGTCAGTCTCGAGCTTTTTCACCAGCTCGTCATAAAGGTAGTTGGGTGGCTTAGAGGCCGCCTCCTTCTCGTCCAAGTGGAAGACTCCATCCTTCGGCATGATGCGGTATCGGATATATGTCCCCTTATGGTCCTTTCCTATAAGCTTGAATGCATTTATGCTGAAGAACTGCTGCGTTGAAAAACTGGCCGGGAACGGCTTCGGTGCGTTGATAAACGCAGCAGCGGCGGGGTGAGTGCGAATAAACTCCTCTACCTTGTTTGTGGCCAGCGCGCGAAAGAAACCAACACCGTCTGGCACGTTACCAGCCGGGAAGAAAGGCGTAGAAACAGTCGCAATATCTGTCTTTTCGCGCCGTGGAAATGAGCTGAGGATAAAACGCAACGCCAGCCCGTTTTGGTTATTAGCCGGATCAGCGTCCAGCTGGGTAGGAACTCCACCAGAGTTCGAGAGCCTAGCGATCACAGATGTTGAATGGCGGCGGAAGTGCGGTGCTGTGGAAAGAGACGATGCTTCGGGTGTTGGGCTGAATGTTCCTCGGAGCAAAATGCCTTTAGCATGAACTTGAATGGTTGTGCGTTAGCGATGTTGTCGTAGGGAAGCACACGATGTCCGCGAACTAACCAGCTCTGAAACCAGGATGATAGCCAAAAATATCGCGGAAAAGTTCCACAACCTTCTTAGCGTCTTCGTCAATTTCCCTAGGTGAGTTGGACATTTCAAAAGACATTATTCTTATGGTGTCAGTTGTTCTCGTATCAAGTTTGCTTGAGTTTCTCGTGATCAAAAGAACAAGCCAGGCACCTTTTATAGTTTTTAATTCAGCGTAATCCACCGCTGCTCCAACTTCAACGAAAGTCTAGCGGAACACCTCTGCCGACAATAACACTCCTGGATGACCATCTAATTCAGTGTAATTTCGGCGGAACTTTAGTCGTCAAGCCCCTTTCAAGGAGTCGTAACGGCAACGGTATATATCTCCAGGAAATCAGTTGGCACTCTCACTCAGCTGATCCATCCAGCTTGACCAACTTCATGGCAGATGATCAAGGCGATATTACCTAAAAGGGCTATTCGGGATAGTTTGTGAGCCTGCCCTCACCTTCTGCTTGATTTGGCTATATCCTTCGATTGTGTTAGCTTTCCTCTCGCCCAAATCAAGATATGTAAGCCTACTTTCCTGTAAGCTGATCAAAACGACCCAATTTCGCAAGCTCTGGACAGTGGACTCGATGGAAATTATATTTAGCGAAGGCTAAGTTAGTAATCAGTGTAGCAAAGAACAGAATGAATTAAATGCCTCCTTATCTATCTGATGTTTCGGTATACCCATTTGGGAAGTCTTATCTCAGCCTCAATGCCGCTGAAGTTCAGAATATGCAATTATGAGAATGTGCTGCGCCTTGCGGAACGCCTAACCGGATGCGCGCGCGTTTTCTCCCCCGCTTGGGCTTATGTCAATCAACTGATCATCTGTTTTGATCAACGTCTATGTCATATCACCAAGTCTTTCCGTCGACAACGTACCCCAATACTTAATAAGTAGACAGAGTATGATCATTAAGAAAGTGGAAGATGAGCTCTGAATTATGGAAGAGCGCCGTGAACCGCTCACAAAATCTACTCTCCCCAGCTGAGCAAGAGCAGTATGGAAAGTGTGGACCAAAGGACCTCCTGATGGATTTCCAATCATCTACGCTCGAACGGGTTCATTTAAGCAAGTTCCATGTCTTCTGCGAACATATCGATCCTCTCCTAGCTATTATCGAGTGCCTTGGGAAATCCATGAGCATCGCAGTAGATATGCTCTCACCGATCTGGGTTTCTATTCGTATTATCTTCCAGGTAGGTGAATCTTGGCATCTGTCAGAATTCGGATCGCTCGGGCCACCATCTAATGACACTCAGATCACGAGAGGCTACAGGGTGTGTTTCAAACAGATCATAGCCCTGTTCCAACGCATCGGGCAATCGTTACCAAGGCTTCTGGTTTACGAACATCTATTTCCTAAGCATGAACCCATTCAAGTCGCCATACTTTCCATATACGTTGATGTCATCAACCTCGTTGCGTCCGTCCGAGCGTTTGCTGAAAGGCCAACGTTTCGGCTGGTGTGTCGTGTGTTCTGGAAGCCTTTGGAGCAGACATTCAGTGAATGCATATCTCATATCAGTGATCAGAGCGAGCTAGTTGAGCGTGAAGCCAACGTGGCGCATATGCAAGAAGAGTCTCGGACAAGGGCCGAAGTGAGACGTATACAGGCTAAGGATTCGCTAGACAAGGCGAATAGATGGCTGAACGCTCGACAGTGCCACGAGGAAAAGGATCCAATCTCCCTTGCCCAAGGCACGTGTCAATGGATCCTCTCGCGACCGGAGCTTTGCCAATGGACCTCAGATGAAACCATTCAATTACTCTGGATCGAGGGGCCTCCAGGTTGCGGAAAGTCAACCCTGTATACCAAGATACTTGAGTATCTGAATGCAAGTTCGGACAGACCTTTTACGTATTTCCTCTTTTGTGGCGCAGACCGAGAGCGGGTGCAACTATCCGCTCTCCTCAGGTCATGGACTTCTCAGCTGTCCAAAATCTCAAGCGAAACTCGAGAATACCTTATCGAAACATACTCCAGAAGTGACAACCATCAGGCTTCTAAAACAGAAATAAGAGATTTGTTCTTCTTCTTTTTGGATATTTTGCCTCCCACATATCTTACATTCGACGCATTCGACGAGTGCATAGAACGTGAAGAGTTTGCAAAAGCCCTGCAATCAATTCCCCAACGTCACAAGATACTCATTACGACGCGCCAATGCCATTATGGCAAGCCGGTATCCGATGTGAAATCAATTTCGTTGCAGATAACGCCGGCGATGACAAAGGAGGATATAGAAAAGTACATTCTGTCAGAAACGGAAAGCATGAAAAGGGAGGTTGAACCCCGGACCGTGGCTCTAATACGGAACCGCCTCTCCTTGGCAAATGGGATGTTCCTATGGGTTAAGCTTATGTTGCAACATATTAGAGACCAAACGACGAATGAGGAGTTGATGCACTGCCTATGTGAATCTGAACTCCCGGCCAGTTTGTCCGAGCACTACGATCGCATCATGAATACCATCAACCAACTCCCACAGTCTCGCAGGCTCCTTGCTCATAAAATACTTTTCTGGGTTGATGTTGCACGTCGGCCTCTAAGAGCTGCCGAGTTGTTTCACCTACTCACCATTTTGCCTTCTGCTGATCGTGAGAGCGGGTATCGAACCTCCCGGCATCCTTCTGGAGACCCCGAGACCACGATTCTATCAGTGTGCGGTTCTTTGATCTCCTTACGTGGCAAGAGCAAGGCTTTATATCCAATTCATTTCACTGCCACTGAATACATTCGGCACTATCTTAAGAACAGCAATGCACTGAGTGAATTGACGGTGTATTACGAAACCCGCCAAATCAGTTCGGCAAATGGTCTTGCAGCTGCGGTCTGTCTTCGCTATTTGTCTCTTATTATTCCGAGGAAATCAAAGAGAAATGTTTGTGAGTCTTCTGTTCAGGACGCCGTATCCTATGGTGGGATTGATATGTTGGTTGGATATGCCAGAAACTACTGGCAAGCCCATTTGGAAGCCGCAGATTCCAAGGACGACCCACCGTTGCCCAGTCTTATAGCAGAATTAAGTTGTGAATAACGACGGCTCAGTGACTGGGACTTAGCTTCTCACTCGGTATAGGACAGATACTATAGATGAATGAGAAAGGTATTTATGGATACGTAATTATATTTATAATCTAAATCGATTCATGTCTGCTGGTTACCTATTTACAAACATCTCCATCATTCTATGCCAAATAGGGTGTAACCATTCCCCTCTCGTTTGAAGAGAGCGGTACAAGGCTTGATAAATTGACGCCAGGCGGCGGCAGGACAGCGGTGAAACAAAAATCGCTTTCTGGTAAACATGACTAGCCAACGAGAAGAGGGCCTCGATCTCTGCGTTTAAGGATTCTTGCAAAGCCTGGAAAGTTGCTTCGTCACAAATCCCCTCGTCGTGCCCCTCCCTCTCACCACTGTTGAAAATGCAGATGACATTGCTTATAGTTTCTGCCAGGCATAAATTGCGGTCTGCCGCCCAACGAAGTTTGTCAACTAGGTTCAAAACCTCAATGTTGATAGATACATAGGCCAATGCATCCTTGCAAAGGAGAACCGGATGCGGTGTCTCGATGTGCAGCGGCTGTCCTGAACGTAGCCACTCAAAGTGGTCTTGCGGTATTGGTAAATGATCTCTTAAAGCGAGCCGCAAACCTTTCAAGGTCTCGGTGAGCTGCGGAAGGTTCGACTGATCATAATCACCCGCGCTTACAACCTCGCTGATGCGGTTTCGAACAAGCGACAGACCATCGAGATGTTGGAAATGCTCGACGATCAGTTGGGCATGGGAACCATGACCATCAACACTTGCGGTGGGATCAACGACGGCGATCCAGGCGGGCTCGCACATGAAAGATGGTTTTCGCTGCATCAGGGCATGGCTCGACTAAGAACCAAAGTCAACTCTTATTTGTTTCCATTGTCGAGAAGAAGGGGGGGCGGGAGTTTGTCTCACAATTAGGCCGTGGTGCGCAAGCAAAAGTGCTCGGTCAAAACCAGTCATATGTACGTCTGGACCACGAAGTTGGATCAGGTCGGCAGAGGCAATGGAGTGAGCAAGCCATGCCGAGTTTCGCCTGTCAACCATGGTCTTTTTTTGCAGCCAACAATGTCAGTAGCGGAAGGGGATGACACGCATTCTAAACACACTGACGCACCTCATACCAAGAAAGACAAATAGAAGCGCAGAGTGTCTCCGCAGACAATGCCTCAGCGGGATCACAGAGCGATTTGCGCAAGCTGCTCAACGCCCTGTTATAGTGTAATGAGTGGGATGAGGGCCTCGGTGAAGCAAATGTGGTATAGGCAGCACATAGACACCTGACTGCCGTGTCAAGAGCATCACTCACACCAAGTCTGGCGGGTACTAGAGTTATAAAGCCTCCGATTTCATGGAGCGACAAGCCTGGGCTAGTTGACGAGAGGCAGTCAACCAACTCCAGCGCGACTGGCGATATCTGGAGTGCTGGCGACCAAATACTCAAACGAGGAGAGCGAGAAGAGCCACTGTGGTTTTCCTCGGGCCACATGCGGCATCGGCTTGGCCGGCCGGTAGGTGATGGAAAGGAGATTAATTCTTGAACGGGACTTCTCTGAACCCAAGCGGAGGCATCCAAAAGGTTGGGCGGACTACGAAGCCTCTTCTCCCTCGATGACGTTTCTTTGAGCTTTCGTCAGCATCCACCCATCTCAATCAAGTCGGGATGGCTGTCCTTACTTTGTGGCCCAGCATGCCCAGATCTCTTCTTTTTCGGCCTCGCTGCCGGGTACCCAGGGCAGTCCCATTGGTATTTGACGCATTGAGAGCACGCGGGAATCCTTCGATCACACTGCGAGGCGGCTTGTGAGTTCAATGCTTATGAGCCCTGGGAGGGAGCAAGGGTTATTTGCGCGTCACCTTTACTTTACGAGCCTGGCAGACGGCACAAGACTTTGGGACCCCTGGCATGGTGACAGGACTCTGGCACGCAGCAGAGCATCTGGCGGACAGTCCCGTTAGTAGAGCCGCCGGCTGAGGGTCTAATGTCCATGGTCAAGAATTCGAAAAGAGGACTGAAATTGTCCGAGTGATAGCGTCACTGCTAAGTCAGACGGTCGGGGCATAATCTTACATCCCCCATGTAGCTAGCTCCGGACAAACCACTGCTAAACGTCACTGCATTATTTAGTTAGATTGCCTCCGTTTATTCATAGGTATCTCCATGTATGTTCCATGGCTCAGCAGCTTTAGCAGATCGCAGCTGACCCCATGGCCATTACATTACAGTATCTGTAGACGGCCTATCATCCCCCTGCTTGCGAAAGCGTCCGTTTGCTTGAATCCTGCCATGCCTTTTAGAGAACCCCTTGCACCCTGTCTCGCCTCCAATGGTGCTGTCTGGCCGCCAGCAGTGGAGGAGCTTCCTGTCCATTTATTGGCTGCCTCGGAGAATGGAAACGACGCATCAGACGACATCTCCACACAGCAGAATTCCCTAGCGCGAGAAGTTGCGTCTGGATGAGAGATCGTGAAGGAGAGTTTACAGAAGATCGAAAATATATAAAGTCATGTTCGGCTCAGCCAGGTCTCCGGTAATATTTTCATCCTTGTTGACTTGATAATGCAACTATTTGCCAGTAGTATCTAGCAAGTCTACCCAAGTATCACAGTTTGTAGTCTACATCCATCGGGCGTATCATGTTACCAGAAGTGGATTGGAAAGCCAAAGCAGCCGCCAAAGCTGCGTCGATTTCCGATGCCATCCCCGAATCATGGCGAATTCCCAAACCAATTGCCACTGTTGACGCACAGCCAGACATCACAGGGCCATATCTGCACAAGTATCTGACGGGAGACGAGATAGAGATCACGGAAACCAACGCTGTTGGGATTGTCAAAAAAGTCGCGGATGGCGAATGGCGCGCTGAAACCGTCGCTCGAGCTTTCTGCCATCGAGCAGCTTTAGCTCATCAATACGTGAGCTGGGCATTTCCCTACTCACTCGCTTTTAACAGCAAGGCATGCTTACGCAAAACTAGGTCTCTTGCTTACATGAGGTGTTCTTTGATGCGGCCATCAAGGACGCTGTTGCCCTCGACGAGCACTACCGCCAGCATGGCAAGCCGATTGGGCCGCTCCACGGACTGCCCGTCAGTCTCAAAGACCAAATACACGTCAAGGGGGTTGAGACAACCATGGGCTACGTGGGATGGATTGGGACCTTTCAGGGTAAGCAAGGGAGCGGCCTTGAGAAGCACTTCGAGAGCGAGCTCGTGATGGAGCTGCGTGGCTTGGGTGCTGTGCTTTATTGCAAAACCAGTGTCCCGCAGACTCTGATGTCGGCCGAGACCATGAACAACATCATCGGATACACTTTTAACCCCAAGAACAGGAAACTCAGTAGTGGTGGCAGCTCAGGCGGCGAGGGTGCCCTCATCTCCTTGCGAGGCTCTCCCATCGGTTTTGGAACCGACTACAGTGGAAGCATCCGCATGCCGGCCGCGTTCAACGGCCTCTACGGCATCCGGCCATCTAGTGGCCGGCTTCCTTACCAGGGCATGGCCAATTCGATGGATGGGCAAAATACAGTCCTGTCCGTTGTAGGGCCCATGTCGCACAGCCCAGCCGACCTCAGATTGATGCTCGAGTCAATCCTTAGTCGACAGCCATGGCTTCATGACCCCGCTGTCGTGGAAATGCCTTGGAGACCTGACATAGTTCAGGCCACCGAGGAACTGGTACACAGTGGCCAAAGGCTCGTCTTCGGCATGATGAGCTGCGATGGCGTAGTGCAACCCCATCCTCCCATCCTCCGCGCTCTCGCTCTTGTGCGGGAGGCACTGGACATTCAAGGTCACGACCTTATAGACTGGGCTCCGCCGTCTCACAAGCGAGCAATTGACATTGTGCAGACTTGCTGGCTGTACGATGGGGGCGCAGATGTCCACCAAAGCTTTGGGCTATCTGGGGAGCCGATTGCCGAGCAGATTGGCTGGATATACGGCTCGGAGGTCCGGGAACAGTTGAATGCCAGTGATATTGCCCGTAACAACGTTGCCAAGAGAGACTACCAAAAGGAGTATATGGCGTATTGGAACAGCACCTCGGAAACATCCGGGACTGGGCGGCCGGTTGAGGCCGTCATCATGCCTGCGGGCGAGGCAGTGGCGACGCGTAAAGGTACTGCCACGTACGGCGGTTATACGACTGCTCTGAGCGCGCTTGACTGGACCGTGATAACGATACCCATATGCACTGTCAACCAAGATGTCGACTCCGCTGACTCGAGCTTTTCACCCCTGAGCGACTTTGACGCACTTGTCCAGCAAGGATGTATGTCCAAGTCAAATGTGCATCTGCGGCGTATGTACGAAGCTAACGTTTTCACCTGGCAGATATCCCCGAAATTTATGATGGCGCGCACGTATCGCTTCAGTTACTGGGGCGCCGATTCCAGGAAGAAAAGCTGCTGGTCTTGGCTGAATATATTGGAAAGACGGTCGCATCCTATGTCTCAACCTCGGTTGGGGAAAAGTAAACTTCCAGATCTGTTGTACGGCTCTCTCCGTGGTCATGCAGCATTGAATTAGTAGTGTTGTGAGAACATCATCGATCTGTAGATGAGTGTGAGTGTATGGTGACAGTCGCGCAAAGCGAAATTGACTCATCTGAGTGAGGCCTTACCTGTCGCACATGTTGACCAAACTTGATGAATTTAAAAGTAATGTAGCAATTTATACAGTCAATTAGACAGGAGACCCTTATTATACTGGAACCTGCGGTGAGCATTGACCAAGTTCTTGAAGATATTTTCACGAGCAGCGAACACAGTGCTGTCGAGTGCAGGGGTAATGAAGCAGTTTCAGAGTGTGGTTTCCGGTTGGCTAATTCAAATGGCCTAGGGCACATAGACTGCTTACGCATTAATACTATCATTACATCGAACCGCTCAGTCTAGCCGCAGCTCTTGGGAACAGAGAAAGAACATTGGTCCCAATGGCGTCGATCTCCGTCTTGCTCAGCCGCTCATAGTTGAGCAGAGCAGCCCTGTTGGCCTCCATGGTCTCCTCGGTTGAGCAGGCAACACCGCAGTCTGCACCGTACACTATATGTGAAGGCGACGTCATCTCCAGGGCCGGGCCGAGACCGGACGGGCACGAAGCAGCCGTGTCAAGGTATAAAGAGCTCAGCTGAGTCTTGATGTCATCGGGAGTGAGGCCTTGCGGGTTGGGGACCCAGCTCGCACAGCCGAGGAGCTGAAGGCGGCTGGCAAGAACTGGCAGTGTACCTCCGCAATGAGCAACGATGAACTTGATGCCGGGATACCTTGCAAAGTGTCCACTATACAGCATGGAAACGAGTGTCCGACAAGTCTCAAAGGCTACCTCTATCAAAGGCTGGGGCCGTCCAAGTGTGGGCGGCGCCACGGCATTGGGATGAACAAAGATGACGGCTTGAAGCCGATTCAATTCCTCCCACACAGGATCTAGCTTGGGGTCGCTTAGGTATGTTCCGTCGTAGCAGCATGTGACAGCATACCCGTCGGCCTTTAGGGGTCCCTGAGCCCGAGCAATTTCAGAGAGTGCGTTTTCTGGATCGTCGGTGGGTATTGCGGCCAGCAGGCCAAATCTTGATGGATGCTGAGCCACAATGGACGCTCCGTAGTCATTGGATGCCTTCAAAGCATCATATGATCCCGGGACGTTGCTGAGGAACTGAAATTTTATGTTTGCTTTATCCATGTACGACAGTGTGTCCTGGTATGTCCATCTCCAGGGTTCGGATAGTAAGAAGCAGTTGTCGTTGCAGAGATTGAAAAAAGACCGATGTGCCTCTTCGGACATGGGGGGGCTCAAGTGCCCGTGAATGTCCACCCAGCCGTTGACACCCATTGTAAGTAACAGGAATAAGAGTTTCTACTTGCTTGTGACTGTCTACGCCATGGAAGAGCCTGCTATTATTCGAGATGGTGGCCATTTATATCATGTGGGCGTCTTTCCAACCCCAGCCTACTACTAACTGAGGTTGTTATTACTAAGTTACATAGATGATGGATTCAAGACAAGCCTGTACAATATCATTCTCCGAAGCAGCAAATCAACAAGTCCGCGGATGCCTGCTCGTCCATAGCACCTAAGACCACGAGACTGTGAGCTAGCACACGGCCGATCCGGCAATCCGGCTGCCGCGCTTACATTGGAAGTCAGACTTGTCCCATTCTCCGAGGCAGCGAATCAAGGAGCAACGCTCGGTCGCGGGGCCCCCACAGTGGACTTTTGATATTCTCGAGCTGCCAAGGATGGCGTGGGGGATGAGAGTGTCCGTCCCCTCCTGTGACATCTAGACGAAGCAGTCTCGGACTAGGTAGAGCACGTTGGCACAAGCACAAGCGACAACATATTATAAATCTTTCCACTATACCGGGGACAGGCTCGCAGAAACGTTGACTACGGTCTAAGGCATGTCCACATGTCTTAGACCGTGGGCAGGGGGGCCCTAGAGCATCACTCTCCTGAGACGATTGGACAACATGTGGCCAGTCCAAGAGTCCAGGCAGACTCTGTACGTTGGTCCTAGATTGCCTTCAATGTAGCTTTTTCATTTATAAATTTGCTTCCCTCCCTCTTCTCTTCATGTGTCTTCCAGCATACTTCCATGCCCGCTCGTCACACACCCTCTTGATACCCTCTTCATACATTATAATGGCAAGCAAGACGGATGCTTCCAACAAGGTCCAGCAGGCCGTGTCGTGGCCACGATCCTGTGTGCTGCGCTCCCAGAGACTTTTCCATCAAAGCCTGACACATCATGGTCTGCCATATCTGCGTCGCCAGAAACCCGACTTTTGGACCGATCGTCAGCCCACCAAGATTTTTGAGTATCCGCAGCATCCAGGTCTGGGCATTCGGTTGTTCAAGCCAGAGGGTCGCAGCGACGAGCCGCCGCCGCCAAACGGATGGCCCATCGTATTCATGATCCACGGTGGCGGCTGGACCATTGGCAATGCCCAGATGGACGATGAGCAGGCGCACATACTGTCAACAAAGTACGGATTCTGCGTCATGGGGCTCGAGTATGGCCTGGCGCCCGGCCGTCCGTTCCCGGGCCCTATCCACGACTTAGCCGGCCTGATCGAGTGCGCTCTCGGTGACACAAAACTCGTCAGCGAGCTCAACCTAGACACCTCCAAGGTCTCTCTCGTCGGCTTCTCCTGCGGCGGAAGCCTGTCTTTTTCCCTGGCACAGCTTCCTGCACTGCAGAAGCGCATCCACGCCATCGTTGCGTTCTACCCGCTCGTCGACTTCGTGGGGCTGTTTCGTGACGACGGGCCCGTCAGGAAGACGCCTTGGGGGAAGGCCGATCCTCTGCCATCTGTGCTGCCCATGTACACGTGGTCCTACGTTCCTGTCGGGCAGGACCTCGAAGATACGCTGCTGAGCCCGTGGTACGCTGCACGCGAAGCCATTTCACAGCCCCTGTTCGTAATCACAGCCGACGATTGCCTGCGTGAGGAGGGCTGCATGTTTGCCCGCAAGTCAGCTGGGCTAGATCTCAACGTCGACCTCCCCGAGGTTTCCACGGAGTCATGGGAGGCCGAAAGCGTGCGGTACGAATTTGTCCCGGGGATGCCTCACTGCTTCATACACTTCTGGGAGGAGATCAAGGGAAGCGATGAGTGGGAGAAGAAGAGGCTTGACATCAACGAGCGCATCTGGTCAGATGTCGCTGCATGGCTGAAGGCTAAACTGGGGGTCTAATATAGACTATGAGGGTTATGCAGAACGCTGCCATTGACGGAAATTACAGTAGGCGGTAATGGTTCAATGAAGCCAACAAGGGAATGCAGTCTTTCTCCGGTTTACCCTGGAAAGTTAGTAGCCGTTATGAGGAGGAATAGGAATAAGGGACTAGGAACTATGTACTACAGTAAAGGCGGGCATGTAGTTGCGTTAGGTAGGAAGAAGTGAATTATAGAGATGTATTGCATTGTCAAGTCCGTGTACTCGGAGAAGTGAAAGAACCACTGCCCTGTGTATCACCCTGGGAACATCAAGGAGAATCCAAGTCTGATGGCAGAGTAGCCATCAGGACCAACAATGTGGCGAATGAAGTACTGAGTACACCAAGGCAACGCCTAGTAACATCATGACATTCTGAATGAAACAGATTTTATACGTGACTTTGGTCCTTCCTGTATTTCAATTTGACGATAGTTTAGCCATGTTATAACGGTTCCTTATATATTTCTTTGCTGCGAACCATGCAAGTCAGTCACTAAATCCGAAGTAGAGCAATTCGAATGGCACGACAATCTGATCTCTTCTTTGTTGGTGTATATCCAGAATGTTATGAAAGAAAAGGCCATATTCTAAAGATTTGAAGTAAAATCTATCATCTGTCTAGTTATCTACGTGATAATTTGAACATTTCCTCGATATCCTGTCCTCATTTGAGCAAACAATGCATGCAGACCCTAGTTCTCAACCTCGGTGTAGTAGCAGCTCAGAGGCTTTGGTTCGTCAACAGCCTCAACCTCGATATCCAAACAGTCACTATGATGACCAACATCGGCGTAAATAGTCCAAGCACCCTGGCCAGCTCCAGGGCAGGCGACGAAGCCAACGCCGTTGATCTTGAGGTGCCCGGACCCATCAACGGCCCAGCCAGTAAGCTCACCGCCGGGTGGAAGGCCATGTCCAGGGCGGATGTAACCCATTTTGCCTTGCTCTATAGAAAATTAGAATTAAGGTTACGAAGTCGTTATCAGAGGGGAATGCTAGAACGCACCGGCAGTGATGAGTTGGGCGTAAACCTGCTGAGGCGCCGCCCTTGTCGCATAGAGAGTGAGCTTGCCATCACGGAGTTGGAAAGTAGCGTCATCTTGGGTGCCGTGCTGGCAGCGGGCGTTCTGATTCTGCAAATTGGTGAATATCTTGCTCTGGGCCGCGTTGAAAGTCTTGCCGCTGATCTCGCCATTGGCGCTGACGGTCTTGAGCTTGAATGTAGCGGCAGCAGAGCCGGCAGTGGCAAGAAGAGCGATGCTAACGTTGAACTTCATTGTTGTGGTTGGCGTGGCTTAAATGAAAGGGGTGGTTTAATGTAGCGAATGTTGATGATTGTTCTGATTACTGTGATGTTGCTGGGTCTAGATAGAAGAATCCTACATTTCAACTCATGCGAGCCCGAGATACTTATACCATCCCACGACGCTATAGCCAGCTCACCGTGGCTGTGTTGTGAGTCAACAAAAGTCGAAGAGAGCCATTAGGTCTTACAGGTAGCGTCGAGATGTCTGAACAATACGAGTCTGTGCCTCAGTCTTCATTCCAGCAAGGCTCATTCAAGGTCTAAAAAGGAGTATCCAAAGGGCAAGACGAGCGAAGTTCTGCTGTATTTGGACGCCCCGACACAATACGAAGAGTGTAGATCACTTGAGCCCAGGCCGGGCGGGTAACTCGGCCCCATCCCCAGGGTGCTCATCCAGTTAGCATAAAACCCGGGGCAAATCATGGCAGATCGGCAACCAAAGAGCCTATT